TGGTCGTCCCAGCCTGCACCTGCAAATGAGAATCCTGGGATGGAAGAGAGTCAAGAAGCTCAACAGCTGAAGACTCCTTTGAACTCAAACAACTAAAACGCATGCACCTTGCCCCAATGATCGGCGTACACGTCTTGGAGCAACAGTCAGGATTCGTTGTGGCCCTTAGATAGCATTTAGTAGGAGAAGTATCCTCCGCTTGCCAGCTTGAATTCCGTGAGTGTGCCCCATGTCAGTACAACACCATGTTGACCGTTATGAACGGATTGTGCCATCTGCTCGCCTAAACCGACAACTGCGCCTGGTCGAAGTCCCATCAGTGGAAACGTGCAGGACTCATGGTTCAGCTCGCTTTTTGCGCATAATTTTTCTTGCCTGTTTATGGCGTGACCAAATGTACGGGCGCAAAAAGTCAAAGTGGCCCCTCCACAACTTGCAACCGCGCGGTCTATGGCAGGAGCTGTAGTGCTTGGTGAAGAAGAAAGTGCTCCCTTTCAAATCTAGAACGCACTGACGCAGAGGTGCTCAGCGATTTTACCGCCCATTTAACATCACGCGCGAGCAGCCGCTATGTACAAAAGAAAGGCTGCTTTGCGTGGGTTATTCCCCGTAGTGAGCGTTCACATGCTGATCCGCAATGGTCTCTGGAACCCGCTTGCCACAGACCGGGCAGCAAACGCCTTCACTTTTTGTGCGGATCCGCTTTGTCGACTTGGTCGAATCTTCGACTACTCGCTTCAAGCGGCCCATTTCGGCATGCGGAAAGCTGAAACCTCCCTCAGCCGAATTCGTGGGAAGCAAATCGTCCTCCGATCCTCCAAGCAATCGCCAGCTCGAAGGCCCAAACACAGAGACTACGGAGAGGCAACAGTGCAAGGTATGGATGACTTAACGAGTGAATGGGCAAAAGAAGCTCAAACTCAGTATTGACCACTCAAATGGTCTTCCCGATACCGAGTTCCCGTGGCTGGCTGCTGGTATCGCAATCCTGGTCATGCAGAGTCATGCCTCTTTGCTCCCTGGCTCTTGGGGGAAGAGTGCTTCCGTCGAGGCCAATAGCCTGCCAAACAATCTTTAGACACCTTGGAAGTGAGTCGGCCTCTCACCCATTTGAGTGAAATTTCAAATGCCCCGTCGACCCAGTGGATGTCCGTGAAACGGTTGGCCTCCTCCTTTGTTGGTTGACCTCCACTTGCTGCTTTCGCCCCCTGGAACAAATGAGAACATGTTTCTAGTGGTAGCTGCCGTTTGAAACCAACACAGGAGAATAAACCATATTCGTGGCAGCTGGACGTTGTTGGTTGAGCTTAAAGGGACCCCTTCCCACTTGGGAAAAGGTCGGCGTGCCCTGGGCAAGCTGGTTATGGCTGAGGGGAACCCCAGCTCAAGGAAAGCACCACAGAGGCACACGCTTTGCTGAAGGGAAGCAAGGCAAAAGCTCCACTCTTTGCCGGGTTAAACATGGAAGATTTCTAATCCGAAATCTCAAGTGAGACGCCATCTGGCATCTAGGATTGATGTTAAGCCCCAGGTGATTCACCAAGCGAATGAAAATGGAAGAAACCTCTGGCTGGTGCTTGGACACCTCCCAAAATGGCCAAACCCAATAACTCAAAGGATGAGGTAACTCTTGGTTGGTGGTTTGGATTGGTGAAATGGGAACACCCCCCCTAAAACAACAAACCACCAACCCAAACCACCTTTTTCGAGCGAAGCTGAAAGGAAGCAACACCGAGGCACCAAAAAGCTCAAACCCGGTCAGTTGGGGCAAACCACCAGCAACGTGGGGCAACAAAGGACTATCAAGGCAAATGCGCGGACGCCTACAGATATGCACGTCCTCTTGTAGAACATGGGTGGGGCTCAGAATTAAACAGCTGCGGTTTCAAAGTTTTAACAGGGATCCTTACATTATACACCTGAACATTGCCTTGTAAATGGTTGTGTCCCTTTATTTTGGTGGGAAAAAACATGTTTCAAATGGGCAACATGTATCTTTTAAGGAGCCCTGTTTAAGCCTTTGTTTTCATGCACCATGCAAAACGTTCGTGGACAGAAATCGAAACCTCACTTTATGCGAGATTACGCAATCAAAACGCACTTCGACATCAAGCAAAAGCACGAATCTGCGGTACATACCATGTAAAACGTTCGTGGATAGAAGTCGATATCTCACTTTGTGCGAGTCTACGCAATCGAAATGCATTTCGACATCAAGCAAAAGCACGAATCTACGGTATATACCACGCAAAACGCTCACGAACAGAAATCGACACCTCACTTTGTGCGAGCCTATGCAATCGAAACGCATTTCGACATCAAACAAGCGCACGAATCTACGGTAAATACCACGCAAAACGCTCGCGAATAGAGCGAACATCTCAATCTAACATCAAGATCTTTTCTCTTAATATAGACACATTGTTTGGAGAATAAAAATGTGCTACAAATCATTAATTTCGTTTTTTTCAAACCAGCCTTACAAAACCTAGCAAAACTTTAATAAAACCTAATCGGTCGAACCCTCGTAACTTCTTCCGTTAAACCTAGTAAAACCCTAGTATTGCCTAATAAAACCCTAATAAAACCCCAATAACACCTAACCTCAAACCACCCCGAACCCCCCCCACCCTTATAGCTCGCAAAACTTGGTAACACCCTAATAGAACCCTCGTAAAACCTTACCCCAGACTCCCCACAACCCTCATAAAACCTCCAGTAAAACCCTTATAGAACCTTACCCCAAACCACCCAGACCATCCCATAACCCTCGCAAAACCCAGTAGAAGCCTGATAGATCCTCCCCGCAACCCTCGCAAAACCTGGTGGAACGTTGGTGGAACCCTCGTAGATGCCTCGTAGAACCTTACCTCAAACCACCAGACAATCCCGCAGCCCTTGCAGAACCCTGGTGGAACCTTCCTAGAACCTTAGTTCAAACCAGCCCTGGAGCACCCCATCGCCCTCGCAAACGTAGAACTTTACCTCAAACCATCCCGGACCACCCCGCAACCCTCGCAGAACGGTGGAACTCTCGTAGAACCCTCGTCTTGTGGAACCTTACCTCAAACCACCCGCAGCCCTCGCAGAACCTGGTGGAACCCTAATAGAACCTTGCCTCAAACCACCCCGACGACCCCGCAGCCCTCGTAGAACCTGGTGGAACATTGATGGAACCCTCGTAGAACCTTACCTCAAACCACCCCGGACCACCCCGCAGTCTTCGCAGAACCTGGTGGAACTCTGGTGGAACCCTCGTGGAATCTTTCCTCAGGGCCGCCCCGGACCACCCCGGAGCCTATCTGGGCTGAGACCCCAAAGCTTTCAACTGTTGGGGAATAATTCTAAATATTGTATACATAATAAGTATTTCTAATATCCATCCCTCGAAATTCCGTCAAAACTTTAAGGTCAACAAGTCCAAAAGGCTTTTCTAAAACATATTTTGCACACGGTGTGCCCATCCATGTCGCTCTCCAAGAATCCAAGGGGGGCAAACCTGGGGCACACACAATTTTTCAAGACCGAGCAGAACTCTGACATTGTGAGAAGACTACCCACTGGCTTCGATAACATCATCGGCCTCTCGGGCTGCATCCTTTCGCACTTCTCGCAGCTGCACCCAGAATTTTGGAGGTGAATTCAAAGAACCCGAGGCCCGTGAAAGTATCACCTTCCTCGCCACCAATTGTTTGCCAGAATATTTCAAGGGCCAATCCTTGAACTCCTTCGGTCCGTGCTGGCTTCGAGCATAGGCCTGCACTGTGCCTCTCACCATGCGCCAGTCTGAGCGGGGAATGATTGATTGAAGATTTGGCATGGCAGACTCCTCAGTCTTCTCATAGCGCCAATGGGCCTGGCAAATGTCCAAGACCTTGGTGGAGGCATCAATCAGCAGAGAGGCTTCTTGCGCTGCTGGGTCCAGCTCTTCTAAAGTGCCGCGACTGGATGCCACAGAGGATGACCTCATCGACCGTTGGGACCGGCAGCTCGGTGCCCCTGTGTTTCTTGCAAATTGCGGCAGTTCGGCCGTGGCTTCAGGGATTCTTGACTCTGCATCTTCTCGAAAGGCGATCAGGTGATGCACTCCAAAGCGCAATTGAACTGGGACATGGAACAAATCCACAGGAACGCAGATGTCGTTGGCTCCACGCAGCGAAGCACGCAGGCAAGGTGGGATACTTGCCTTCAAGTCACCAGTCGTTGCGATCAGCTCAGCCAATCGTTGCTTGGCCTCTGGCTGCAATAGCTTCTCAAACGATTTACCGTTCAGAGAGGTGCTCATCATCAGCAGCTGCTTCAGGCTCTGAGCATCTCCGTGAATATTCAAGTGGTTGTCCAATAAGAACTCGCCATCACACACGCCCCGGAGCAACCTGCGAAAACCAGCCAACATAGACTCCGCATGGGTAGTTTCAAACTTGGCCTCGATCTGAGAGCTGATGCTCGACTCGAGAAAAATAGACACTGAGATAACGCTCGCTAACACAAAGAGTTCGGAGACCAAGAAACATATGCTGCTCCGCTGCGAGATGGCGATTGCGGAGGCGAGTACTTGCATGGGCGCGGTCAGCCTTGTGTTCACAGCCATGATTGCAATGGTGAAGCGGCAGGTGGTTAGGAAGGAGTCAATGCTGAAGTCAGCAAGCTGGCCCTTCTCACCATATAGCACGAAAGCCATTGCGAGCAACAAAGCTTGCTGGTACAGCACCCCAAAGCATACGTGGGATGTGGACATGTGCTCGAAGCATTTGTTGATATACACCATGCTCGGGTAATCCACCACTGTGACCGCCAACAAAAATAACCAACGACTATTGTCGGGTTGGGTGTAGGCGAGATAACCGAATGAAAACACGCAGAAAGCAATGAGGTGCACACCGAAGAGGCCGCAGGTCAGGAAGGACATCTCACGCCGGACATCATTAAATGCATCTTGAAACTTCAGGTGCTGAAGGTTAGAACTCTGGTGGCTACGCAGCCTATGCCAGTCGCGATCCGGGCGGGAGTCAACATATCCGAAGTGGATGCAAATAAGTACCAGGATCATGGCAAGTCCCATCGGATCCATGGTGAAGGAACCAACAAGATGGTGCTTCGAGATAGTTGCCGGCTTCTTGAGCCACAATGACTTGCGCAAACAACCTGGGCGTGTCAACCATTGGCCCACAGCGCATCACCCAACTCGTTGGTCGTCCCAGCCTGCACCTGCAAATGAGAATCCTGGGATGGAAGAGAGTCAAGAAGCTCAACAGCTGAAGACTCCTTTGAACTCAAACAACTAAAACGCATGCACCTTGCCCCAATGATCGGCGTACACGTCTTGGAGCAACAGTCAGGATTCGTTGTGGCCCTTAGATAGCATTTAGTAGGAGAAGTATCCTCCGCTTGCCAGCTTGAATTCCGTGAGTGTGCCCCATGTCAGTACAACACCATGTTGACCGTTATGAACGGATTGTGCCATCTGCTCGCCTAAACCGACAACTGCGCCTGGTCGAAGTCCCATCAGTGGAAACGTGCAGGACTCATGGTTCAGCTCGCTTTTTGCGCATAATTTTTCTTGCCTGTTTATGGCGTGACCAAATGTACGGGCGCAAAAAGTCAAAGTGGCCCCTCCACAACTTGCAACCGCGCGGTCTATGGCAGGAGCTGTAGTGCTTGGTGAAGAAGAAAGTGCTCCCTTTCAAATCTAGAACGCACTGACGCAGAGGTGCTCAGCGATTTTACCGCCCATTTAACATCACGCGCGAGCAGCCGCTATGTACAAAAGAAAGGCTGCTTTGCGTGGGTTATTCCCCGTAGTGAGCGTTCACATGCTGATCCGCAATGGTCTCTGGAACCCGCTTGCCACAGACCGGGCAGCAAACGCCTTCACTTTTTGTGCGGATCCGCTTTGTCGACTTGGTCGAATCTTCGACTACTCGCTTCAAGCGGCCCATTTCGGCATGCGGAAAGCTGAAACCTCCCTCAGCCGAATTCGTGGGAAGCAAATCGTCCTCCGATCCTCCAAGCAATCGCCAGCTCGAAGGCCCAAACACAGAGACTACGGAGAGGCAACAGTGCAAGGTATGGATGACTTAACGAGTGAATGGGCAAAAGAAGCTCAAACTCAGTATTGACCACTCAAATGGTCTTCCCGATACCGAGTTCCCGTGGCTGGCTGCTGGTATCGCAATCCTGGTCATGCAGAGTCATGCCTCTTTGCTCCCTGGCTCTTGGGGGAAGAGTGCTTCCGTCGAGGCCAATAGCCTGCCAAACAATCTTTAGACACCTTGGAAGTGAGTCGGCCTCTCACCCATTTGAGTGAAATTTCAAATGCCCCGTCGACCCAGTGGATGTCCGTGAAACGGTTGGCCTCCTCCTTTGTTGGTTGACCTCCACTTGCTGCTTTCGCCCCCTGGAACAAATGAGAACATGTTTCTAGTGGTAGCTGCCGTTTGAAACCAACACAGGAGAATAAACCATATTCGTGGCAGCTGGACGTTGTTGGTTGAGCTTAAAGGGACCCCTTCCCACTTGGGAAAAGGTCGGCGTGCCCTGGGCAAGCTGGTTATGGCTGAGGGGAACCCCAGCTCAAGGAAAGCACCACAGAGGCACACGCTTTGCTGAAGGGAAGCAAGGCAAAAGCTCCACTCTTTGCCGGGTTAAACATGGAAGATTTCTAATCCGAAATCTCAAGTGAGACGCCATCTGGCATCTAGGATTGATGTTAAGCCCCAGGTGATTCACCAAGCGAATGAAAATGGAAGAAACCTCTGGCTGGTGCTTGGACACCTCCCAAAATGGCCAAACCCAATAACTCAAAGGATGAGGTAACTCTTGGTTGGTGGTTTGGATTGGTGAAATGGGAACACCCCCCCTAAAACAACAAACCACCAACCCAAACCACCTTTTTCGAGCGAAGCTGAAAGGAAGCAACACCGAGGCACCAAAAAGCTCAAACCCGGTCAGTTGGGGCAAACCACCAGCAACGTGGGGCAACAAAGGACTATCAAGGCAAATGCGCGGACGCCTACAGATATGCACGTCCTCTTGTAGAACATGGGTGGGGCTCAGAATTAAACAGCTGCGGTTTCAAAGTTTTAACAGGGATCCTTACATTATACACCTGAACATTGCCTTGTAAATGGTTGTGTCCCTTTATTTTGGTGGGAAAAAACATGTTTCAAATGGGCAACATGTATCTTTTAAGGAGCCCTGTTTAAGCCTTTGTTTTCATGCACCATGCCATTTTGGGCATGTGTTTGGCTCCTGAAAGCTCTATGACCTGGGCCTCGTCTTCTGGGTCAGCTGCCGGCTTCTTCCTCGTTTTCGCGCCGGCCGTGTCTTGTAGAGCGCAAAGTTCTGTTCTTTGCCAGACTCAAAATGAACAGAACTCAAAAAGAAAGCCACAGATCCGGGAAAAAAAAAACACCAAACACAACCACCTGTTAAGCAGTGTTGTTCCAACATCTGTACTGATTTCGCAAAATCGGGCTCCGACGGAAGCCGAAGGAATCCAGTTCCAACTCATGCGGCTTGGTCTGATATCTGTTCAGTTCATCTTCAAGCCCTCTGTCTCCTTCCAAATCCCAAAGCGTTGAAACTTTTGGCATCGAAAACCTCAAACAGTTTAAACCCTATTCGGAGTTGGTTTATCTACAGGATTGAACTCTGTTCAACCAGCGTGGTAAAGCACAAAGACGTACAAGTACCAGATGTTGAGCTAGTTGCCCGTTGCTCGGTTGACATGGAGGGACCACATGGAGGGACCCCCCGAAAAGGGCGAAACTACATCATTGAGGAGTCCTTTCGCAATAAAAGGACTCAAAGTGGTATCAAAAAGTGTTGCTTTTAATACTCCAAAAGGAATGGTCCTCACATCCTCGGACACCAAAGCCAACTCTGCTTCTGTTTTTGCAGACGGTTTGCTCTGGCTGCCCTCTTGACAGACTTCTGCTCCGCCCACATCCCTGCTATTCTGCTATTAACTGGTTTGGCCAGGCCCCCCATTTTGGGAGATTCCTGGTTGCCCATCAAGGCTAACAAAAAGGACCTGTAACGCTCCAACAATGCCGGGGATGAATTGTCGGAGACACCAACCTGGATTGGGACTGTTTGATTCCACGCCCCACGATGAAGGAACCTGACAAGGGGCCCTGGTGATATCTGATTAGGGAACAGAAACAAAGACCAGGGTTGAACCTCACCACCAGGAATCCGGAGTGGATGGGCAAAAACCATCTGAACTTTTCGTTTGCCACTAAACTTGTACACATCTACGGTACACAGAAAATCATATGTTCTGATTTTGCCTAGGTCTAAGCTATCACATACTTCCTTCCAGCTTCCAAATCGCCAGGGAAGCAGAAGCAAAGCACAACCACAGCCGATCTGACTCCGGAGGTCCCAAAGAAGCTCTGCAGCTGCCGCTGGCCCTTGGAGAGCTGCTGACGTTGATCCCGGAACCCGGACACGCGCACCTGCCAGCGCCGCATGCATGCGAAGCTCCCCCCGCCCGACTTGGGTCGGGTTTTTCTCCGACAGCCGGAAAACGACAGGCCGGGACGTCCATGAAAGTGACATCCAAAATAAATTACCCACTTGGGAGGGCTCCTTTGGCTGTCTGAGAGGTTTCACTCGTTTCCCAACAACTCCTCTTTTGGGTTTAAACCTCGCCAGGCTCATTTCAAAGGGGGCCTCTGTTTCGGCGCAACGTTGGGGGAACAGGGAGCCCCGGAACCACTGAGCAAAAACAACTCCCACAACTTTTCTTGCTCTTCCCCCTGACCAAAGGTCAAATCTTATGTAGTTATTTTTCGGGTTTAGCCATTGGTTTCCTAAAGATCGCGATTTGGCCACAAAAACCAACCATGAGAAGCGCTTCCGGCGACTCGGTCGGTCTCTGAGCGGCGGACACCCATGAGGCGCAGTGAGCAGGGCAGCTGCTCTTCCAGAATGGGCTCCAGCAGCTTGTACAGCTCCTGCATTTGTGTGTGTGTGTGTGTGCCTTTTCTTCTTTTTCTTGGGGGGGGGGGTTGGGGATTTGCCTGAAAAACAAGACCAAAAGCAAGACTGAACTATGAACAACACAAAGCAAAATCATACAACACAATGCAACGAGACAAATAACAACACGCGCACACACACACACACACGACAAGAAGAAGAAGAAGAAACATCTAACACCAACCATGAACAAAACACTTTCCAGCGCGTTCTCGGGTCCTGCGCCACTTGCGCCACTTGCGCCTCAGCATCGCCAGCTTTCTCGCCAAAGGTGTGGCTGAAACCCACAGGACGAGGCACGTTGAGCTGCTTGTTCCTGGCAACGCACGGCGTCGATTCTTCTCGGAGGAAAGAAGCAACGGCCAGTGACCACAAGGGATCCCCTACCAGCTGAGGAGAGACTTTGAACCTGGAGGTAATGGGAACCTTCTCCATTAGAAAAGCAGCAGGCGCTTCTTTTGCATGGGACCCCTGCACTAGATATTTGGGGAACCCTACCTTCTAAGTTGATTTGGGTTGATGGATCAACCGTCACAAGGTATGGGACACTCTGGGTTTGTTTGTGGGATCGCATTAAGCCTCTGGTTGAATTGGGGGAGGCTGCCCCATTGAAGAGAGATCGTTTTCTTCTGGAAGACCACTCCCTTTGGTGTGCCAGGTACTGGTACATTTATCCGGCAACATGCTCACCTCAGGACCACCACGGAGGAATCAGATCAACTCAGCGCGAAAAAGGACACGAGACCTTGTCATGCTTATGATGTAGCAGTCTCCATTGGAATTGGGGCCAAGGTCTCATTCTTGCGCCGCCCTTGTTAACCATACGGTTGATTCCCCAATCCTTGCAAGTGCCTTGCAAGTGAAGCAACTGCATTCAAGCTAAGCACAACTAGGGATCCCTTGTTTTCTTGCAATATTGCAGGCACCAATCAAGGACCCCCTAGCAAGGGAATTTCCATCATCTGTGCAATCCCTGTTTTACGCCAATCGCTGAGCTCGCTACAATCTGGCTAGTAACATGTAAATCAGGGAAAAGTCTAAACACCCCATGGTTCGATGGGAGCGTTGTCCAAATTGGGGCCCGTGAAGGCGGCACACGGGTTTGCTGAAGTTCATCAAGTGAAGGTTGACACAGACCTCCTGCTATGAGGTGCATAAGCCTATCGTTTGAGTGGGGGGTCCCCTGTTCCGTGTCACTTTTTCCCCACCCGCGATGTCTTTGGACGGGTCATCGATTTCAACATAGGATGGGGCGCCCAAAGTGATCCGCAACCAGGGGATCCGCAGCTCGGGGGTTCTCGGACAGAGCACGGCACTTGCTACGCCCAGAAGAAGCCAACCTGTGGGTGTGTGCTCCTCGGGGGGTTCCCACTGCTCAAAGGGGCGATCGGGCATTTAGTGGGTGCTTAGTAGGCACTTTAACCCGCTTCGGAGGAGACTTATAACCATGGTTTGGGTTGTCTCACCATGTTCCATACCACTTACCTGACGTAGCTGCTGCCCCTTCTCGAGAAGGAAGCCAGCCATGAGACATAGCCCTGAAAAGGTAAACATACATGTCCAGTGAAATGGATTCCATTTAAAACCTAGAAGCTAAAATCAATAAGTATTCATTTCAGCCGGAAGCCTGCGGAGATCCGCGCGCCTCACTTCGAAGTTGGTACTCTTCGCCTTCAGCGCCACACAGCGCGCCGCCAAGGGCGGCACCGCCGCCGCCATGTCCTCGCTGACCTCACGCTTGGCTTTGGGAAAAGAACATCAACCACAGAACACGGCACTTCTTGCTTTGAACCTTTGACCTGAGAGTTCTACGTGTTTTTTTGAGCCAGAGTAGTTCAACCAAATCTTTGGCTGCCCTGAATGTATATATATATATATATAATATATATATATATATATGGTACAGCGTTGCCAGTCCCCCCCCCACCCCCCCTGTGGTTGTGGCCCTGTGGTTGGGTTGTGGTGGTTTAGGGTTGGTTTAGAATTGGTTTAGGGTATATTTAGGGTGCATTTAGTGTTAGTTTCGGGTTGGTTTAGGGTTGGTTTATGTTGATTTAGGGTTGGTTTAGGTTCAGAGGTGTACGGTTTAGGGTTTCGTTTAGGGTTTGTTTAGGGTTTATTTAGGGTTGGTTTAGGGTTAGTTTAGGGTTGGTTTAGGTTTAGGGTTTATTGTTTAGGGATTGGTTTAGGGTTGGTTTAGGTTTAGGGTTTATTGTTTAGGGATTGGTTTTGGGGTGTATTTGGGGTTAGTTTAAGGTTGGTTTGGTTTATTTAGGGTTGGTTTATGTTGATTTAGGGTTGGTTTAGGTTTAGAGGTCTACGGTTTAGGGTTTGGGTGTGTCTAGGGTTGGTTTAGGGCTGGTTGCGGGTTGGCTTGCCCTGGGGGTGGGGGTGCCGGGGTGTCGGGGTGCGAGTTCAGGAGGTCGGGGTGGGGGTGGGACCGTAGGTGCCAGGAGGGCTCGGGGTCTCGGGCCGGGGGGGGGGGTACAGGCCATACCATCTGGGGGGGGGTAGCAACATGGAACAGACCATGTATACATATGCGAAAACTTGGGCTTTTGGTTTGAAGCCTCCGCCTTAGTCAAGGCACCTGGCGGCACAGGTCCCGGAGCTTCACCCGCAGCTCCTCGGGGCAGCTCTCCTGGCGTGGCGTCGGTTTTGGCTTTTGGTTTTTGGACTCAGGGGAACGCCCAAAATGGGGAGGGTGGGTGGGTAGGGTACTTAAAGGGGTGATCGAGTACGTCAGGTAAGTGGTTTGTAAGCCTGGCTATAACTTACTTATGAGACTTACAAAAATGGTATGTGAGCCACAAGCATGGTTATTACCCGCGTACTAATGACAATGCTCCTTTAAGTAGGGTAGGTGCAAATGTAGGTAGGGTCGGTTCAGATGAGGCAGGGTAGGGTAGGACTGGAGGTTCCTTTTGTTTTCCCTGCAAAACAACAACCAACAGGTGCTTTCAAAAAGACGACACCCAACTCAAGCGGGATTCCCGAAAAAGCCAAGAGAAAGCCCGGGCTTTCTGGAGTCTTTTAGGCCTCCACACAAAAACAAAGGCCCGCAACCGGGCCGTGATTGAAACACACGCTCACTTGTATTAGTGATTCATACTCAGTGCTCGTATCAAATTCCACTTGGACCCTCCCATCGACCTCCATCCAGCCACTGCCAATCGGCGAGGCTCGCCCGACTTTGTTTTGAGCCCCCAAACCCATCCATGGGAGAACGAAAAGGGGGGAGCCTCTTATCTTTGTAGATGTTTCCTTGGAACCTGCAACCACAAAGCTGGCAAAAGGAAAGGTGCGGCACTGGATGTCTGTGCTAAGAAACCCCAACAAAGAAAACTGAAAACACGGCCACTGGTCTGTACACCAACCCCCACGACGGGCCTGGCGGAAGGTGCGCTCGCAGGAGAGGCTCTTGCGACCCACCGCGCCCACCTCCTCACCGTCCTGCAGAGTTGAAGCGACGAATAGCGATCACGGTGCAGACCATGGAGAAAGAAAGCAGTGCTCGGCTGCATATCTTAAACCGGAAAACGTCTGTGTTTTTGCAGAAGAAACAATGTCTTGCGGCATGTGAAAGCGAAGGGAGACAGGCAAACACATTCGCGAAGTGTAAGTTCATGTGTGTTTGCGCGTGTGTGCGTGTGAAGGGAATGTGCATGCAGCGTGACTGCCTAGATGGATGTCCCTGATGCAGGCTGCTATTCTACCCAGAAGCCAGAAACCTCTTGGTTCAACCACAAAGTAGTACATAAACGCCGCATACACAGCTTTATGGAGCTTTATGGTGATATGCATGTCTACTTAATGAGCGCTTAATGCATATAATGCATATAACATTGGCAAGCAAAAAACACCTTCTGATATTGTCAGACTGTCCCAACATATGCTTTGCTTGAAAGCCCGCTTATCTGCCATACTGTGACCACCCCCCCTGCCTTGCACAAGGATTCCAATTGTGGACGACATCTTACTGCAACAGCCCAAATTTAGGGCTTGTGGAGCGGGGCTTTGGGCACTGCTCAATCAAAGCAATGCAGCAAGGCGTAAGGGTATGCTCACTTGCACGAAGGACCAGGAGGCAAAATGTCCTTGGCATGACTGAAAACGAGCACAAAGGGACAACCGGTCGACTGGCATCCACGGCAAAAAGTATGTATCAAAATAGGGTCCCCCCCAAAATAAATAAATAAAATGGCGGCTTTGCTGTTCAATCCCGTCAAACCAACCCAAGGCCGGGAAATCACACTGCAAAGTTTGTTGCACGACTCTGGACGAGAGCCATGTCGTTCCTAAGTCCGCAGCTTTGGGTGATCACGATGCCCACTGGGGTTGGTCATGGCAGATCCACGAAGGAAAGATAGAATTTGCTAGGTTCATCAACCCCCATGAAGCCATTGGCAAGCGTCAGTCAACCCTCAACTTTTCAGCTACTCTGAACTCCTTGACTCGAAACGAGCATTTGAAATGCCCGCACTTCTCTACCACAGTCTGGACAAACTACTGTTCCGCGAAAATTGAGGATGCCGTAACGGACCTTTCTAAAAGAAATTTCCGTGTTAACTCCAGGTGACTGGGCCAAGTGACCTCCAAGTGGGTCAAAGGGAAGCGCCACGCTCACCTTGAGGGACCCAGGTGAGCTCCTTCTGTGTCTTGCCTACAAGGGGCCAACTAGTTGCACACATTGTGCTATAATCATCAGGTGCTCTTTTCGCATTTAACACGCAAGGGTTGAATTCTCCCACAGCCCGAATCTAGATCTTTTTTCTGCAATATCTAAAAAACACCTTACAAGAACAGTCCCCAAGTACAGGACCTTCATGGCTCGCTTGATTTTCCCCGGATCCGTTGTCGCAACGTCGCAACGTGTGTCTCTCCCTCTCTCCTCGGCGACCTCGTCCCCGGAGAGACCCAAGCAAGCACGGAGCAGGAAGCCTTGCCGAACTTCGAAAGCCATCCACTTCGAAACACTGGACGCAGGTCCCAGGTGCTTTCCACGGTCATTTCTTGTCATCTATCGCGTACATCTGCACATTTTATCAAAACCTAAACAAGGGATGTTAAGAAAAGGACCTTGATCATGGTTGAGCTCGGTTTAGATTCCTACTGGGCGGATTCAGGACAACCTTGCATCTCGATCAGGTCCCGCGTGCAAGTTTTCACATGGGTTCCTCAAAGGATACGTCCCAAGACAAGGAACTTTTCAAGGGGATCCTCTAATCAGCTGGTACAGGTGATCTTTCAATGACTCAAATGCATGGGCCTCTGAACCAGCTGGTAAAGGTGGATCCTCTGAATCTGGTAAGTGTGATCTATTGACTGGCTGGAATGTATCCTTTGCCCAGACTGTGGCCATGGCACAAAGACCTGGCAACCTTTTTTGGCTGCCTTGTCTCGGACTCCGACAGCCGCCCCAACTATTTTTTGGTAGTTGAGTTGTGTTAAAAGCGAACCGCCCTTCCCAAAAAACTGCAAAAAAGAGGTCTGTGTTGGGTTTTCCCATGGGTCTCCCTGTATCAAACCGGAAAGCAAACATCCCCCAATCACATCACCCTAAACCCACGCCAGCTCCACGTATTTGGTTCAGTTGAGGCCATCAACGAGCTGGGTGTGACACTCGCAAAATTCAGCTTCTCTCTAATGGGTCGTTTGAAGCCTGGTGTTCCGCGGGGTGGGACATTTACCCTCTACAAGTACCAGGGGTTCAAACCAATCCAAACTGCCAACTGAGGGTTACTTGGACAATGAAGGTGGCGACTGGTAGTGGCTCGAACAAAAACCCAACTCCAAGGAACAAAGTTGGCCACTGGATGCTGCAAAAGGATGGCTGGTATTTCTTAGAGTTGACACCCCTTTGGGTTGGTTTTAAAGGGAAACCAAAAGGGCAACCAAAATTCATTTTGGGGGTCCGAGTCCGATTCCCCAAAGAAGACGCCACCCATGCCCTGTTTCTACGCTTGTGGTGTGGTCAAATTTTAGGCGGCTTTCATCTCCTTCCACGCGAAACGGGTCCCTTCCGAGAAACATGTATGAGTCTCTGCGGTGCCCCATCCCCCGCCAAAAACACGAGAGATGTCCCCACATTTCACAGAAAGGGTCGCTTTGGGCGGCTTGTTCGCGCCCAAAGTCGCCAGTGCTTCTGCTCATTTCCCTCCTTTTTCCTCGGTTTTTGTCGCCAAGGTACACCAAACATGTATCCTGGGGACTTCAGCCGGACACCCCCCGTTGACTCGAGGCGCTGTAGGTCTTGGGCCTCGAACTTTGAAAGGCCCGGCGCAAGCGCCACAAGGAGTTGATCTGACGCGACCGGGCCGCCAATTGGCTCGGTCTCGCTTTGAGTTGGCACCTTTTGGGATGGGTTTTCAAGGCAAAATAGAAGGAACACCCACGCCATTTTGGGGTTGTCTCAAAATAGGGGACCTTTCCTTTGTTCCCTCTCAAACCCACAGAAAGGTTCCGTTAAAAAAGACGCACTCAAGTTGCAGGAAACCACTAGATGTTCAGTTCGGCAGCATTCCTGCGGATGCGCAAGACGATACAAAACATGTTCAATAAATTTCCAACGCCGGTGGCTGGAGACCCATCAAGCTCAGCAAAGTGTTTGGGAGTTAAAATGAAGAGACCCATCACTTGCCCAAGAGTCCTGAAGTTAGACATCATAATTTGGGGTAATGACCAAAAGGTAGACCACAAGTGATTCAACAACTGCTGGTCAGCGAATAGATGAACTCGATTTGGGCAAAGCACTGCCGAACATTGGATGTATTTACGTGGTGAAAAGGAGGAATAGAACCAACATTCGAGACTATACTCCGATACTCATGGTGTCGAGTAGCCCCAATATTTGGCTTCCATATCAACTGATTCAAAGCCAAAGCACAGGAAGCCATTGAAGCCTAGTGACTACGTAGTATCAAGGGATCACTCGGGACGATTGGACCTTCTGGCCCCCCTTGCGAGTGCCCTGAAATTCTATTTGAATATTTCGGAGGCCCTACCCTGCAAAATGGAATTCTCAGCTGTCGCAAGCGAATCGACCCGTCAACCTTGTGGGCTCCCCTTGCTTTGGTTCTGATTCCTTAATGGGGCTATGAAACAAAGCGCCCCAAGGCTTGCCAACTGGGTCTGTGTCACAATATCGGATGAGACCCCTAAAAACAAACAAACACTCCATCAAATAAAATGGCCAGGCCTCCCTTTTGGTTTCCCCTGTTCAGCCAAGGTGAAAAGACCGAGCCTCAAAAAACACCAGAGACGGCCCAACTCATCTAAGACGCCTCGCGCACCTCCCGGCAGCTCTGGACCTGCAAGATGCAGGCGATCTGCTGCCTCGGCGGTCCACTGGGCAAGGGAACCAATTCCCTGGACTGCTTATTCCCATCAAGTTGGTGAGTCCCTTGGTGCTCTGAAAAAGGCGGCCCTTCTTGCGAAGGGCCTGCTTTTTCAGGACTGGATTTCTGTCAAACGGCACCCCAAAAGAGACCCCACCTAAGATCATTTGGCTGTCGTTGGGTCCGGCTGGGGTTGTCTTCTTTCTTACCTCAACCCACACCAGATGGTGGATGTCCCTTTCAGCACACACCCCAAGAAGGGACGTCTTGGTTTGTATTCTGTTGAGTGGACGTTTTGAACAGGGTTGCACCTGTTTTCAGGCCTCTTTCCGGTTTCAAGTGGAGAAGAAATTCCATCTTGGGGTCCATTTTGAGCCAAAAGGCCTCTACCGTGGGGTCACCCCTTAGTTTGAACTTGTCACGACCCCTGATTTGGGGGTACATGGCCTATGTTAGACAGCCGGGGTTGGCTGAATTCAGATGTGTGATATGCGGTTGTTTGGCTGCGAACGTGGCTGACGGTGGATGATGGGAGTTTAGACTGACCACCGCTGCAGCTAGTGACTGTTAGTGGCACAAAAAATGGCCCAGAACTGCTCCCTTCACCACTCTACTCCGGAGCGTACGGCAAGACAAGCCGATTTTCAAACCTGTGCAAACCAGGTGCTTGGCCGAACTACCCAACAACCTGTAAAACCAACCCACCAACACCAACTTGGGGAATCCCACAGCAAGGACCGCAGGAAGTCGACAACAGCCTAAAAATCAAAACCAAGGCCTTGCTATGGCCTTGCTTACAATAGATAGCCCAGTGCTTGGCTGTCGCCTGCCCTTGCTCTGTAACATCGGTATGCTTTGCGGTTTCAGTGGTTTCCTTTCTTTCGTGATTTGCAGGTGTGTCCTGAAGACTGAAGGCAAGGACGTCCTTGGTGGTTTCATCCAAATGGCTGGCAATGAAAGAATCATCCTCAATCTCTTCAATCTTTGAAGCGAGATGTGAATTATCCTCAGTTTCCCAGTCCTCCAATCTGAAAAACGCTCATTTGAAGGCACGAATCAAAGGTATTAAAAGGACACCCCCTCCCCTCCGGAATGTGTAAATTATGCAAACGCAAGGGGAGCTATCCCCCGCTTCGCCTTATGCAGGGTACCCAGAAGTTCACGCCCTTCCATGCATTGAGGTGGTGGGGATGCTTCCGAGCTGCTCTAACACCTTGCCACAGCCCGGAATCTTGCGCACAGGCAGCGCATCCATATAGCTCAGCACCGCCTCAAAAGACAGAAATGCATCACAATGCAAGCGAGCAACGCCCAACACCCGAGTAAAAAGGGATTACTTTTGTTGGGATCCCTGATCGGCGCACATGCCCGAAACCCAACCTGTTTGGTTCGAGCCCGCAGTTGGGTGCCAGCCATGCATCAGGTAGTGGCCTTTAATAAAACGTTTCTTGAAACTTCTGATATTTTTCGCAATGGGCAGCTGACAAGAACGACCCAGGGAGCATTCGAACCTCTCAGACGCAACGCCACTTCCATTGGGCAACTGGGTCACCTGACTCAGAACCCACACTAAACCACAAGCTGACTCTGAAGAAGCGGTGTGGTGGGTGGTGGGTGGTGGGTGGCGGCTGGCTGGTAGCGGCTGGCTGGTGGCGGCTGGCTGGTGGCTGGGGCGTGGGGCGTGGTGGGTGGGGGCGTGGTGGGTGGGGCGTGGTGGGTGGGGCGTGGTGGGTGGGGCGTGGTGGGTGGGGCGTGCTTGGTGGGGCGTGCTTGGTGGGGCGTGGTGGGTGGGGCGTGGTGGGGTGGGGTGGTGGGGTGGTGGGGTGGGTGCGATCGACGAAAGGACCACCACTCAGGCCTCGCGGGTGGGCAGGATCCGAGTTTGGCCATCCGGCTTCCGCTCGTCGCTGGCAATCTTTGCGATCATGCCTGAGATCTTGTGGCTGTACGTGCGACATGATAGTAGTAATTATCATCCCCAAGACTACTTGATCACTTTACAGGCGCCAAATAAAATCAAAGGTTTGATTCCAGGCTGTGCTGTGTGACATGTAAATTCCTCTTGCAAAAAGCATCCCAGCTGCGGGAGGACGTTGTGATTCGGGACGGCATCATGTTCATGAGGGAACTTATCAAGATGTAAACTTCGATGTCGAACAATAGCAAAACACATGTTGACAGAATGTAGGATCTTCTCTAAATATTGGATCAAAGAAAAGTGCATTAGAATGAAGGTTGCGCAACATTACCAGACGTGTACCAAATAAAATAAGTCATGTTGACAAAAACATGAAAGCGGCAACCAAGAAAGAGAAAGGAGACAATGGGCAAGTCTTTAACATAAGATAACAATATCTCATATATAGAAAAGTTACGAGATGTAAGACATGAATATATACCATACATTAGAGATTCTAATATAATATTTCTTGTTCGCCAAGCATTTTGGAGGGTTATTAGTGTCACTGGCGGACCCCCCCTCAATATTGGTGGACCCCAGTAGGTCCCCTTTTAGTGTCGCATCAAAGGTAGACCTAAAAGCACACAACCTAGTTTGGGGTTCCGATTTTGAGACAAACCCACGCTTGTTCAGTGAGTTTCTTAGGACTTATGTTTCAAGGGGAAGTGTGTCTATTTGTTTGAACAGGGACCCTCACGTGAAGCTGACACGCAAAGAACCGCTGGAGCATAGTGGGGAACTCGTCAAACATGGGCCCGCTAAGCAACTGAGTTGGTTTGTTGCCAAGGAAAACCCAAGGCAAACCACCTCTGTTGTTTCAGCCTTTAGTTTGGTTCTTCCCAAAAGTTGAGCAGTTGCCTCAGTTGCTCCCTGGAACCACGCCTTTGGAAAGCCTAAGGCGTTGGTTCAAGCGGGGAGGAGTCAGGGGGCATTGCTGTCGAAATCTATAAGGCGGATCCCCAAAAAGGCACTAGCAAACCCACGAGCTTCCTCTTGGTGTCCATCCAAACAGCACGACATGATTGGTTTCCTCTTGGTTTGTATGTAAAACCATCTCAAAACAGCGGTTTCCTCTTGGCGTCGCTTTAAACCATCTCAAAACGGCAGTTTCCTCTTGGTGTCCCATTAAACCCATCTCAAAACTCTCAAAACGGCAGTGGGTGTCCCTTTAAAACCATCCACAAGGCACTCATGGTTGGTTTCCTCTTTGTGTCCCTTTGAAACCATCCAAAAGCACTCAACATGGCTGGTGTCCTCTTGGTTTCACGCTAAAACTAGAGAATGGGTTTCCTCGTTTCGCTACTTGCAACAATGGGTTGGCATCCACCCCAACAAGGCCGAACCAGGGCTCCACTCCTGAAATTTGGGGGGACACTCGTCTTGAACGCCAAATGGACTGTATAAACAGAACATTTTGACGCAGCTCATGGGCCTCTCTGTGGGTTTTGGCCAATATGGTTGGCTTTCCTTTCGTTTTCCCTTAAACCACTTTCAGGGGCCTCGGAAACCAAAAAAAAAGAGCTAACTTGCGGATGCTTCCACCTGTCTTTTTGGCCCGTTTTTCTGGACCAATGTTGAGAATCGTATTCCGAGGACTGAAAATAGGACTGGTTTTCGGAACAATGAGAACACACATTTTCTTCAGGGGACCTATTGAGCAGCAAGTTCCCCCAGTCCCCGCCCCAGCGCATTGGAATCGACTTCCGTCACGGCTGCGGTTGGGCCCGATGCCGGCGGAGCAGGTGAGCCCAGTGGCCGCCTTCACGCGGCCACGCATCTCCTCGCGAGCGGAGATGCGACCGGGGTTGTCTTAAAGGAGAGCCCCTTGGTCTCCCGTGAAACGACACCAAAAAGGGGTTCCAAAAGAAGAATTAATGCAGCTTGGCGGGATTTGGCTTCAAGGGAGGTTGCTTTCCTTCGAGGGTTGGGGTGGGCTTGAGATGGGGTTGGGTTGAGCGTTTAGATGGGGTGGGTCTCGGGCGGTTTGGTTGCAAGCCGAAACAAGGGGTTGGCTTTTCGGGGAAAGGGTAGGCTCGCTAACTGCGTCGATTGGCCACAAGACCCAAGTTCAACATCCAAGTGGGTACTCGAGTTGCGAGAGGAGCTTTCGCTTCGAATACAGACCGTGCCGTGTTGGGTTTTTTCTTTCAGGGGGGGGGGTCCTGGTTGGATGGCTAAAGACTCAACAAGTTGTTCAAGCCCAACTCACAAAAGCCAGCCTCAGGTGCAACCGAAAGATGCGCAGTGGGAGTCAGTTGCCATCAAACAATGGTTGGGCTTCATATCACTGGGCCAACTTGGTTTTTGTCGGGCGGGCCATTCGTTTTCTTGGGAATCGGTTGAACCTAGGGTGCCAATCACTGGTGCCCGTCTCTCATCTCGCAGGGTCCAGTGGATTCCCATTGGACACTGCGCGCGAACAAAAACGTCTAACCCGGGATTTCCCGAGACCCCGGTGGCCACGGGGTCTAAGGTTTTTTTTTGTTTTAAGTAGTTGTTTGTAAAGGGACGCCCCTCCAAAAAAAAAGGGAACAGAAGGCACCACTGGAGGTCTGGCATAATCAAGGGGTTTATTCATCCAGGGCTCCCGTTAGCCCCCGCCCATTTGCCGCATCGCCGGCGGCTCCTGCACTACTTCTTCTGGATCGCGGCCTTGAAGCTGGTCGGTGAGGTCCAGGTAAGCCTCACCATGATGCATGGGTTTCGGTGGCAAAATAGGGGAACCCCTGCAAATGGTGGCCGTTCTTTTGGTTTCCTTTTCAAATCACACCGGGTTTAAAGGGAAAAGCAAAGGACACCAACCATGCGGAGAGTCCAACATATTTTTTGAAAACACCGTTTTGTCTCTTCGAACTCATGTCTGCCAGGACTAAGTCAGCCTTGGGCGACTTTTAAACCAACCAGAAAAGGGGGTACTATTAAAAAGCAAACACCCGTAAAGAAAAAAAGGGGGGCCATTGCAGGAGGTCTGGAGCAGACCTGCCAAAAACCTCCGGCCTCGTCCAAGGAGTACGCTTTGAAGTTGGGGTCGTAATCACCTGCGCGAAGGGTTTGGGCGAAGAAAGCCCAGGCCGTGCTGTGAGAGCCCTGGGAGACCTCTTCCGGATTCGAGATGTTTCCAGCATTTGCCAACAGCTTTCCGCTGGGAAAGGATGGTGCAAGGGAACCGCTTCTTAGGATGGATGCCATGTTTAGCGGGGAACCCACCGTGAAAGCAACATGGAACCGAAAGGATCCCCAGTGTTAGGCAGCCCACACCCGTCTGAGAATGTGGGAGTTGCTTTGCCTTTGGCTCCGCTACAAGTCCCGACCCGCCTCTCACCAAGAAACAGAAACTGTCCAAGCCCTTCTTTTGTCTGATTGGTTGAAGTTTTCTTTTTTTGTGTTTGATTTTTTCCTTTTTCCCCATTTTTTTCCCCCTTCTTTAAACAAAACCTGCCATCAAGCATTCCCCCCGCTCATTTTGGGAGAAGAGAAGATGTGCGTAAATCAAGATTCTAAGATGCTGCTTCTTGCGTTGTCTCAGGAACATCCGGAAGCTTCCGATTCCAGCTCGTAGTTCATCGGATGGCCCAATTTTCGCCCGTTCGGCCGGGCAGCGAAAGATCTCTCGTGTCTCCATGGCAACCTTGCTGTACCTTGGGGGCAGGGGTTCGGGGTTGATTTGGGTTTGCTGGGGGATTGAGCACTCTAGCCCCAAACAAGAAGAACTTTACTCATCCCTGGCTCCTTGGCTCAGGTCCTATGGCCAAAAAGGATTCAAGGAGAACTTCCCAAGCTACGGAGGCCAATTCAATGTTGACAAGTGAGGGAACAGGCAAACCTATCTTTACTGTAATCTACCGTTGGGCTTCTGCTGGAGTATGATTGTTTTGCTTGCAATATGGCAGGAATCAGCTTTTTCACGGCATCCACTGAGTGTGCCTTCTGAGGAGTACGAGGTACTGTTGAGCCCCCAAGCAATGCAAGCACCGGGTACTTCTCACCAGCACCTTCCAAGGGCTGAGACATGGGGAGTGTCTGTTTGGAGGTTTTGTTGCTTCTTATTGGGGCCCCCTTCAAGGAAACACACAATTCCTCGGGTCACCTCACCAAAAGCGGGACACATGGCACCCTATGGTGCCTTCGGGCTTATCGATTGGAAGGTGGTGGCGCTCAGGACTCACTTCCCATGGCTGTTTGCTCCAAACGGTTCAGCACTTAAAGGGGTAGGGTACTTAGTAAGTGGTTAGTGAGCCTGGCTATAACCCACTGAACGGAGACTTGTAAAAATGGCTTTGGGGGGTTACAACCAGGCTTACTAACCACTTACTAAGTACCCTCCCGTTTAAGCACTGGTCTAAATTCAACAAATAGAAAGTCCGACTCAGTGAGTAGGAGCCAATGCTCATGTCACGAACCTCGGGGGGGGAGGGGGGTATGATGGACACTCGGCGTCAATTTTGCAACCTCCTTCTTTTAGGGCATTGGATTTTGTAGGATTCCTGGCTGCAAAATAGACTCTGGGTGTCCATGGCACGGTTCGCGACATGGGAACCAATGCTAAGGCTTGTGATGTGGGGGGGGTGCCATCCTAGGCCTTCCCCATACAAAGTCCTTGGAGGTTCATGCACTTACGTGCTCCCCCCAAAAGTGAATACTTCCCTCGGAAATGGGACCACTTCCTGTGAATCAACCAGGTCTTTGTTCACAGTGGATGGCCCAAGAAGAGTCCAAGCTTTTTGCTCGCCAGAGTCTCACAGCGTGAAGTCCAGGAACTGGAGTGAGTTTGTTCCGGGGTCAAGCAATATGTTTAGGGGTGCCCCAATCAATGGCTGGCGTTCCTTGTGGTTTCCCTCTAAAAAAGGGTACCCCTTCAACAGACACACGGTTGGAGACTCTGGAAAAGGTACTTGGCAAAGTTCGGCGAGATGAAGACTAGCTCGTCCGGCGGCATCTTGGAGCCTGCCAACATGTCGCCGGGCCGTCGAAGGGGCCATCTCGCATCACCGACAAGGGCACATGTGTGCATTGACCACTGAGACAACAGCATTGCGAAGCAGTCAGGAGACTTCTTCAGCCTAAGAAAAGCTAATTCGCTTCTTGTTGGCTCAAGGGCAAAAAAAAGAGCAGTACATGCTACGTTGGTGCCGCCTTATGATTGGCCCCCGGAAAAGGGATGGCCCTTCAATGTGAACGCGCAAGATTGTACGGGAACAAGTGGGTGTGTCTTTGCTTGAAGGTATCCTTTTTGGGGGTTTTGAAGGGGAACCGAAAGGACAAGCACAACTTCTTGGGGGTTCCCAAAAAAGACACACCCAAACAGCGGTCTACCCTAAAGCGATGCCACCCTTGGAATTTAAGCAGCACTGAGCCAGGCCTGCTCGTTTCAAACAGACACCCTAAACCATGTCGTCCCGAGTTTGTGCGGATGAGGAACTGCGAAGTAGAGGCGGTCGCTCGAGCAAATAGATTATTATCCATCCTCTTGGCTTTTCGGTGCAATCAGCTTGTTTATGCGTATAAGAACCCACTTTACACGGGTCTCGCCCAAACAACATATCTGAACTGAACAAAGGAATCACCAAGGATGGAGGGGTAGGAAGTTGGTCGAAAAGGTACGCAGGGCCCAATACCGACTTAGCCTGCGGTTTGCTCATATGGCCCTCACTATTTCAGGGTTAAAGGGAAGCCACCAACCTATGTCAGACTTTGACCCCCAGTGGTCAAACTAACGACCGACCCTGTCATACTTTGAGGTTAGGAGCAACCCTGCCTACATTTGAGACCCCCAAAATACCCATCTCCTCTCCTGGTTGCAATGAAATAATTGGTGGGCTCGCTCTGACTCGTGTAGTCAGAATGGTTTTTGACGCCGGGCTTCGGCAGCTTCATCTTTTGGCGGCGTTTTTGTGACGTTTGGTTTCTCACGTTTGCCGCGCCGCTGCGCACGAAACCAGCGGCCATGAGAGAAAGAGCGTTCTATTTCTGGTACTTTATGTGTAAAGCACCCGCTGCTTGGTTGCTGTTGACCCCTCTCACTTTTTGTGGCTCCAACGGAAAATCCACTGTTTCCCAACAAGTTGACGCCGAAGACTGGAGCTCGTTTTCCTCCGTTTGTCCCCCGGGTTCTTTTGTCAGTCCGCGCCTACCAGCGTGGGATTTCGCACCATGTCCACGGCGATGAAGCCGGGCATGGCGGCGCGCACGCCGTACTGCCGCGCCACGTAGTTGGCCGTGCAGATCCTCACCCGTTGAATGGGTCAGAAACGGGTGTTCTTCAGGCCAAACATAGCGCTGTCCGAGAGATTCTCGGAACCAGACATAGATATGATTTGCATGGGGATTTTTGGCAACCAACCCATTGGGAGGGTATTTCCAGTTGAAACTCATCGCCAAATCGATTTGTTTCGGCCGCTACACACGTGAGTGTCCTTTGGTGTAACCTGAAACCCGTTCAGGGTCTCATGCACTCGGTTTCTTAACTACGCCGTGCCCCTGCTTTTTACGTGATAAATTCAGAACCTACCTGTCTGGGTAGCAATTTAGGGTAACCATTTTGGAAAGAGCACAAGCAACCAACCAACCAACTGGCTTCTGGCCTAGGGTAGGAAGGCTTCTCGGTTGGGCACCAGTTTGGTGCAAACTTTGCCAACCAAAATTCAAAGAGAAATTGGTACCCTCACTCTCCCATGGCATCTGACAGGTTTTGATTGAAGAGGCATGTGATTTTTCAGGTACCTTTCCACTTGTGCAATGTTAGTGGTGTCAATCAGGGCAAAAGGCTGATTCGGATCCGAACAACCGGAGTCAGTACAGTGGCCCTGGTAGTGGTGGCTTGCATGGAAGTCTCTGCTTTTGAGGGTGCCCGTTCTGGGGGGGTATCATAGGGAACCAAAGGCTAACCAACCATTTTGGGCGGTGCCCCAACTTTGAGGAAAAACCCATATTGGGTTTCGCAACACTGTTGTGCATCTATGAAAACAGGGGCCCCGCCAAATGACTTCTCCAAGCTGAAAGGGGGCACTCTCCACAAGAAGCTCCCATCTGCCAATGGATCGTGAGACAAGGACCGACAACATGTCTTGTTCACTTTACCCCCGAATCGGTGGAACCGCTCGAAACCCAGAAACATTCTCCTACCGTGGGTTGCAACAGCTCCAGAGTGGATCCAAACACACAAGTTCTTCTTTTTGCCATCTTCCAACAAACTCCCACTCGAGTCCAAGGATTCGCATGGGGGACCCATGAAACTGGTTTTCTAATGGCAACCCCGGATTCATAGTTCCCAGAACCCTCACTGGCAACCATGCGGAGCGACTGGCATGGGCTTGGGCAATCAGCTTCCATTAAAAGGCTGATTGCCCCAAATTAGATGATACAACTCCTTAAGCAGCGGCGGTTGTATGGACCCCCATGGTTTCAATGATCGTAGGCACCTTTTGGACAATACATGTCTTTTCGGTGAACAGGGATCTAAGCAGGTGGAACCCACTTGTTCTGAACTAGCCTAACCTAAAAACTGGGCTGCCCTCAGATCCCCTCCAAAAACAGGTTCAACTTTTGGGTTAAATGCAAACCCAAGCATTCAGCCAACTAAAACACCAAGCCGCAGGAGCCAGACGATTCGCCGGAGAAACGGCCCGTGGTTACCGACCCGACTTCAGCGACCCGAGGCGCATGCCCAGTCCGCCGATGGCCACCGGCTTGGTCGCCAGGTGAGGCGCGTCGCGGATCTCCACCGCGGCGTAGAACATGTCCATGTCCTCGGCGCATGGAACGAAGGGCGGCCGGGCGAATGCAGGCGCCACCGTGGGCGTGGTTGGGTTGATATTCATCCATAAGCCCTGACGGGCTAAGAAGGTATTTACTCAAGCTTGGTTCTTCAGATGTAGCTTGGGATTCAGAGCACTAGAACAAAAAAAACAATGGGTGGGTTCATACTTGACTATATTGTTTACACTTCAGGATTGTCAAAATTAAATCTCCTTGGGCCATTGTTGTAGGAGAAGCCTTGGGTGGCTTTCGGAGCTCGGTACCCCTTCAGCAGGGGTGTTTTAGAGAGAACAAAGCGGGACAAAGCACCATGTTGGAGGTCCTCTCTGTTTGGACGTGTGTACTTGGTAAGGCTCGGTACTCTTTTTAATATCTGGCTAGGGAATTCAAACAAAACAAATAAACTTTTGGGCGGAGGGGGTGCTTTGATACATTGAAGTGAAGCCCCTTTTTGGCTGGTTTCAAAAGGACGCCAAAAGGAATCCTCACTTTTGGGGGGTGGGAAAGAACCAGGGTTTTTGCTGTGCGTTGACCTACCAATCAAATCATCGGTATTTAGCCGCATTTTGGGGAGTGTAGTCATGGAATTTGGCTGGGTTGCTGGGTTCTCCTGGAAGCAAAGTGGGCTTGGCTTTGGGTTGCTCGAAATAGGTTGCTTGGTTTTTTAGCTCACTTGTGAGGGTCCCATGGTACCGAACATACAAACTGAGTCAACATCTGTCAGGTATTTCGGAGGCACTTTGGTCTGCAGTCCTGAGACTGGCAACTTGAAGTGTGTCAAAATCTTGGTCGACGTAAGGGGAGCAAACAAATATCTCAGTTTTAGCAGTTAAATGTGGATTTACCCACTCAACCACAATAAGCAAAAATGTAAAATGCTTCCCAACGACAACCATGAAATAGGGGAACCCCTTTTGGACGTTCTAAAAAGGAGAACCTGGATGGGGTCCCAAATTTTCAGAACCCAAATCGTCAAAAGTAGAGACAATGAGCTGAGGCTCCAAGCGTGTTTGGGTCCCTTCCGCCAATCTGCAACACTTTACGGAAGCCACTCATAAACAACACGTGAGTCACAATCAAAACCCGGCATTAAATTGGTCGACCCAAATCCACGTAAAGAATTAAGAAGGGGGCCGCAGCTATTTATGGCTGGGACTGCCCCTCACCAACATTTACCAACCTTCATCTACCGGGGTTTTGATTGTGGCTCATGTAGGGTTTGTCTCAAAGTGAGGCAACCCCCAAACTTGCTTGGCTTCGTTGTGGTTTCCCGTTGAATGTTCGCTACTTTCCCGCAAGCGGGTGCCAAAAACGCCGCGCCTGGGGTAGCGTCCCTGGGAAGTTTCAGGTTCCTCAGCAAGGTAAGCCACGTTAAAAAGGTTGATGCATTTTCCTTTGGTGAAGCCATCACCATGAACAAATTGTGCCATCTACTTGAAGGGATTTGCCGTGGATTTTGAACGCTGAACACTGATGAAACCAACGAAAGCCGAGAAGAAATTCCCTTGCTTGAGCAGGGGACCCTTCGCTCAAAAAAGGCCTGCTTATCGCTCAGGGACTCCCAGACCCTGTGTCAAAGGGGGTTCACATCATAGTTTTTCGCTCATTTTATCCCCAAGAACTGCGACAATGGACACTCAGAATAAGTTTTCTCACTATTTCTGGAATCAAACCCACACACAAATACCCTCAAGACAAACACATTCTCAAAACAGCATGTGGCCAACATCCCCCAAGAACCACCACCACCACCACCACCCATTTTCTGCGACCAAATCTCCACCACGCAATAGGTGCGCGTTAGGTCTCGATGCTTCTCCACCTCCTATCGATCCATGGGAGCGGTCTGTTTGCTGTCAAGCTCACGTCAGGGTCCTCGAAAACCACAAGGAAACAGAATCCACAAACTACAAGGTTGGCTTGGTTTTGGGTTGTTCTCTTACACACAAATACCACCATCAATACCAAAGATATCACTTGGCATCAAAAGTCATCCAAAAAGGGGTACTCTCAAAAGACAGCCCCCAGAAGCAAATACTAGCTTGGTTTTTTGGATCGAATGAGAGTCCGGGCCCAATGCCAAGTTAGTCGGGGGAAGGTACCTCCAAAAACAACTTTCTTTTTGGGGGGTTCCCCCCAAAAAAACAAACAAACAAACAAAAAACACGTCCGTTTCTCTTTCTGCTTAAGAACATGGCACCTGAACCTGGGAAAACAGGACCCCGAGGTTGCAAGATGAACCAAAAAGCAGGGAGTCCAACAAGCAGGTTGGATCATAACAAGTAGTTTTTTTCTTCCTCCCCCTATTAAGAGGGGTTGTGCAAAGAACTCATGGTTTCGACCAGCGCGAAACGCTCGAGAAATTGTCCGCGGCATTAACGCTTTTAACGAGCTTGCCGCGCAAAGTTGAGCAGAGGGAGAGTCATTTAGCCTCCGAAGAATCTTGAAATGCCTGCCATGCCCCAAGTTCAGACATCTCAATCAGGCCCTTGTCGAGAAACAGAGCGTCCGTTCAATGATTGTGCAGATCTGTATTGATTTCTGAGTTGACAAGCAGCTGCTTTCCTCCTTAGATGCCACAGTTTGACGCAGGTGGATGTGCAACCCATAATTCATCAATTCTGCAGACCCGTTAAAACTTCTATTCTTCCCGTCCTAAACCAGGGGACCCAATAAACAAAAAAAAGACAGAGTGGGGATTTCCCAGTGATCTGAATTGGGTGCCAGGCTAGTTCGAAGGAACACCAAGAGGAAAACCTCCAGTTCGAGTTCTGATCCCCGCCTATGTAATGCACACTCAAGGACCTTTTCCCATACATCTTCCATTTGTGGATGCAAGGGAAATAATGCTTCTTGGAAAGCACGTATCGGCACAAGCAATACCAAAGGATCCCCTTTCTTTTGCCCAATATCCAACTTTACTGCCATGGTGAACACATAACCCGCTGCGCCCAGATACCATTGGAGTAGGTAACCAGGGGAACCATGATGCAAAAATACATCAATACCTACTATGGAGCCTAACAAAGAGAGGGTCCATTTTAAAGGACAATCGCCTTCCATTCCACCGTGTCTGGTTCCATGGAATCGATGACAACCCCCCTTGTGCATCCATTGCTCAAGCCCCCTGGAAAAACCAACATATCTCCAGCAGTCCTTTAAAGCCAAAAAGGGACAATAAATCAGAAACCTGAAGCAAATGGAAGCCCAGGTTTCTGACAATTTCCGGCTTCGGGCTCTCCTGGATCTCTGCCTCTGCCTTCCTCCTCTCCTGGGCCTTCTCCACCTCCGTCCTCAGCTCGACAGCTTGCGGCTTGCCGCGATTGCGCAACGCAAGGATCTCACTGAACAGATCGAGTGGATCGGCAAACGCACTGAACACAGGTAACTACTGGGCTACTAAGACTAACACAGGTGGTTAGCCACCTGTGTTGCAAAACACCTGTACCAGGAGGGGCGGCTTATTTATCCCACAGACAGCGGAAGAGGCAAACTTTAGCAAAATACACTGAAAAGCCAACTTGTTTGCAACCAAAAAGTTAAAGTCTGAAGATCCGTTACCCAATAGCAGTCAAGTCTACTCCAAATACCCACTTTGTTCGGGCGATATGTCTGAAAACCCCGGGTTTTCCAGGGAAAACATATCCTTCCATCCACGTACCCTCCACGCACCGAATCCATCCATCGCCCCGGTAGGTCTGTCGGGTCCCGCTGGGGCCCCCGGGCATCCTGGCCTCCGCATCTTGGAGCTCCTGCGCGGTCTGCTGGGAGCGCTGGCGCTGCTTGGCGTCCAAGTCCAGCTGGTGGGCGGTGTACTGAGAGTTCTTGCTCTTCCTAAGGCACCCATTGGAGCCAAAAGAGTTTTCTCTTTTTTTTTAGAACTGGCCATGTGGGACTGAGAGAGTTTGATGGTGAATCCAGAGTCCAGCTGTGAGGCGCCAGATTCGGACTTTTACCAAGCTTGTGGTTTCCCAGTTTGCGCAACGAAAAGACAGACCCCAAAAGAGTATTCTCAAAAAAGGACACAGTCATATTTTGGTGTTCTTTTTGAGGCTCGGTACCCTTCAGCGAATTCCTGACAACATACTGGATGCGGCCCTACCAGACCCTATTTTAGCAAACCAAAGGGAAGCCAACCATGAATAATGCAATGCACGTTAACCAAACCACACGATATTGATGGAAAATCCATAGGAAACACAGGGAATTCAGAAGGCAACCAAAAGGAAACATGCTTAAATTAAAGGGATCGCCGCAAGAATGAAAGGTAACTCCTGCTAAGAAAAACCAAGCGACGCAAAGCGAAAGGACTGTCCTTTCAGGCGACTGGAACCGTAGCAGATTCAAAGGAAAGCAAAAAACAAAACTGGAACCAAAAGGCACCCAGGAACCAAAAGGTGAACGGAACGTAAAAAAAAAAAAAAAACAAGGGAATATCAGCCAGAAATGGAAGAACCCCGTTGACAGGAGTGTAAAGCCAAAGGAAATCCACTTAAAAAGCATGACATAGAAGTTCCAGGTTGAGCAAGCAAAGGGAAGCCCATCATGAAATCTGTCAGAAATATAAATTGACACTAAGATCCGCCAAGGAGAGCCCTCAGGTTAAAGCAAGTGCCGATCGTTTGAGCGAGACATAAGCTGATTCAAAGCCATAGAAAGGAAAGCCACAGCCTTCAATTGAAGCCCTCGGTGTGGCATTAACACTAACTTGCCCAGGGACCCAATACGTTTTACCTGTTGACCTTTGGGGCCATGACGAAACATGGAACACGCGACACCAAAAGGTCAAAAGGTTGATTCGCTTTGGGCAAGCGGGTAAAAACATCGGGATAAGCATCCGCTCATGATAGAGCTAGGTCATTTCTAGAACACGCTGATCCTCCATTTGCTTACGCCCCCCTGAAAACAACACATATTCCCATTAGCGACAGATTCCCTTCAAGGCCAAAAGGGGAAAACTACACATATGGGTGTGCCATTTTTTTCAAGGGTATCCCCCCAACAAAAACAAACAAACAAATAATGGTTGTTCCCTTTGGTTCCCTTTAAAAAACAAACCCAAAGAAGGTACCAACTCCAACAAAAAGACATGCCCATATTCATTTCGGCAGTTCGAAGTCACGTAATTCACATATGCAATGAGTGTTGTGGATCCATACCGCCCCGTATCTGACTCAATGAGCTGCTGGTACACAAAGTCTGCCACCAACCTGGGATGGGATGATCGGGCATGAAGGTGCAAGACTGGAGCAACCGTTTCTTGGGGCGGAATGTATGCATTTATGAGCCCCTGGGCTACTTCAAGAACTGCACAGCCCTTGAAGTTGCTGCTGGTGCTTCGATGGAGGTAGTGGCCTTTTTGGAGCACTTTGAGTGCACCTCAGTGGTTGGCGCGAAGGATACTTGTCATCGGGTCTGTCTTGTTTCGGAGTTGGCATCCTTTTGAGAGGTTGGTTTCAAGGAAAACCGAGAGGAACCCGCCATTGTGGGTGGTCTAAGACAAGTCACACCCATTTGGGGTTGTATGTTTCTGTGGTCGGTGGCCCCAAGGATGGCACTGAAAGAGCCCTAGGACCCAACTTCAGTCCTAAGGGGTCTGCCTCAAAACCATGGCCAGAATCCAGAGCACACAACCAATTTTGGTTGGGCCCCCCCTTTTGTGGGGAACGATTGTGATTCAGTTTCTGCCTGGGCCCTGTGAGCACATGGACATCAAAGAACTGGTGCCCTTTTGATGCCTGAACCTTGGCTCCATTTTCATCCTCAAAACTACACGGTTGGTCACCCCAGCTTTTTCAACCTGGGCTCAAGCTACACGCAAACCTCGAACGGAGGTCTCGCTGAAGCAAGCAATGGCCTAGCCAAATTCTACGCCAAGCGAAACTAAGGGATCCACACTTTTATGACAGACACCTCAATGGCTCAATCTGTGATTTCTCCCCCCCCCCCCCCCCCCGGGGTTTCGTGACGTGAAACAGAACATATGCAACAAGAAAGGTGCATCTCAAGCGTCTGAGACATTCCAAGTCCGCCAGCTCCATGAACTTCTGACTGGACATGGTCAACGCTCATTTAGTTGTTGACCTTGAGAAGTGTCACCTCCTTCACCCTCCCCACCCTCCCCACCCTCCCCACCCTCCCCACCCTCCCCACCCTCCCCACCCTCCCCACCCTCCCCACCCTCCCCACCCTCCCAACCCTCCCCCCTACCCTCCCTCCCCCTCCCTGGCTGAATTTGTCTCTTCTGTTCCAAAGCCAAAGCGCTTCCGGTCCGCGCCCATGCCCGCCTCCAGGGGTCGACCGTCGACCCCGAACGCTGGGTTTCTACCCACAGTTACTTACCCCCCCTGGGTCAACTGTTCATGGATTGTCTGGAATGCTCCGGGCGTTCCTTTTTGCTCCCCTTTAAAACTACGCTTGGGGGTATCAAACACAAACGCCTAAACACATGAACATGGCTCTCAAAACTCCTTAAATAGCCCATTGTCATGGTTCCCTGAACAGGAATCACTCTCATGGGGATGAAGGATTGCCAGTTGGATGACCATCCCTGTGAACCTCAAGCAAAGGAAACCCTCTTTTGACCACAAACTCACACACACACACACACATACATGGACTCCCAAAGCGGGAAGCCAAAATTCGGCACCGACCACCGACACCTACCCGGCCGGCCGGGCCTTGTTGGCGGACACCCCTGTGAAGTGGAAGAGGTGCGATTTTCCACCGCTCTCATTCTCCATGGCGAGAAATATGGCCAAAGGGTGAAGGACCCGTCTGAGGTGCCACAGACGGACGCCAAACAAACGACCGGATGCCAAAAAGGAGCCTCTGTTTTTTGGACCCCACATGAGGAGCAAGGAACATCGCATGTGAAATGCTGCGGGAAACAGTTCTGTTGGGCTTTTGAGTTTGTTGGGTGTGGGTGGTGGAATGCCGATTAGTATTGAACAGTGTTGAACATTGGGCGGGCTTGGGTGTCTTCCTCTTGTTTTGTTTTGTTGCCCATGGGGGTGCAAGCAGGACTACTCCTTCAACATTGCGGGGACTCTGCTCGGACTCATCCTCGAACAAGGTTGTGTAATTTACATTACATTTTCTCGAGGGAAATAACCAAGATTATAACTAGTGCCCTGTTAAACAAATATGCGGCGGAATAGCGCGGTTTGTAACTTGCACCCAGCAGTGAACATATCAATCTAGATTGCAGCCGTACTGTCCTTCCATATTCACCTGGCGCTGATGATCAACACTCAACCGCATTCTTGAAGTTGCAACACAAACACATGCAGGGACTGGTTCCCCCTTTCTTGGTGCGCCGTTCTCGTGCGCAAAACCACATGTGGTTGTTCTAAATGGGGCTGCCTACCGGCGTTTCAAACGCGGCAAGGCGCCCTCTATGAGCCAGCGAGCACATGACAACAGAGACCGCGCTGCTGAGAACCGATTGGGGCCCCGGAATGCAAACGTGTGACATGTGGGCTTCGGCTTCGCATGGTCGGCTTCTCACCTCAACGGGAGTGGACACCACTCGGCCGATTTTCCCAGTTTCATACCCTGAAGTTCTCCAAATGCGCCGCGCCGCAGCTTTTCCTCGCGTCTCCATGTGCAAAGGACCTGAGCTTCGCAAGCCATGGGACATGGACCCAATGGACCTTGGCGCTTTGGACGTGGGGCTCGCTTCTCTATTTGCTAAGATGCGGTTCAAATCCAAATCCAAACCACCTGAGGGAAACCTGAGCCCCTTGGAAGTAAAAGCTTTAAACGGTGCTCTCAAAAAGAAACGCAGAATCACCCACACCCACACCCCCACACTTTTCACGTGGGAAGGAAGGAGGAAGTGCTTTTGGGCGAGTTCGCTGACCTCTGAGGTGCCATGCTTCCTCAAAATTTGAGTTGTTTCCCATATTTCCTTCGAAACATGACCCCTAGCAGGGTAAACTCACCTGCGCCGAAAAGGTCAACGTTTGAGACAGATGCATATTCCTCTTCGGTTCTTGTGGACTTGCTGATGTACGCAATGGCCTTCTGATGCAGCATGAGCACATTGCCTGTTGCAAGCGTGAATGCAACACAACAAACCCCTCTGGAGAGGGACATCACCTTTCTGTGATATCAAAGCGGTGCATCCGTACCGTGTTGTGCCTTGGTATCACCAAGGCAATCGCCCAAAATCCAACTCCTGCAACCATGCTGTCCGTCCAGCCATGTCCTGCCTGCGCAGAACATGATTTTCCACTGGTGTGCGCAGGTCTCGAGACCGAAACGAGAACCGTGGCCTAGGAGATTCAAATTGATACCGTGGATGGTTGCGAAGATCCAATCGCACAGTTGAGAAACCCGACGGAATGAGTCGATTCCCCAACGTAAATGCTAACGAACGTTATGGTTTCCACCATTGTGTTAAAGTGGTGCGAACGGGTTTCGTCCATCCGCAGTGGTCTCCGGCCGGCGCATCAGACCTAAACTTGGCGCCATGAGCTCAGCTTCACAAAACCGGGGCGGTTTTGTCGCACGGCGCCTTTCTGCTTCAGCTAAACGCCTGGTTGGAAGAAGCTACTTATAAACTCCGTGGGCAACGTAGCATTCTCCCCACACATTTTTCTCGTTTCGCCACCTGTTTAGCTTACTGGTCCCAACCTCCGGCACCCATATGCTCCAAAAAAGTGATAGGTCGGAGGCGAACGCGAAGCGCCCGGAACCCGAACACCTGTCCGCATTGGTTGCCTCGAGCAACCTCTCAGGAGTCTCAAGCGTTTTGGGCCTGCTTCCAGCCCCACTTGCCCACCTGCGCGAAGCGGCGCTTGGATCTTCGTTTCGCAAGTTCGGAAGTTGGCAAGATACAACCCGCGTTTATGAAGTCCCCCGTTCAGTGGAGTTCTTCTGGTTGACAACCCAAGCAGCTCACCACTTCACTTGGCCGAACATCCAAGCTGCAAAATTGGGAAAATCCCTGAAAATGACAAAACACTAGGGGAGCATGGCCGAAAAAGGGGGTCCCATTTGACCCCACAGGTCGCCTCAGTTCGGTTCCCAAGGAACCGAAGTGGGCTTCTGCTTGAACATGGTGGGCGGGACCCTAATGCGAATCCGTCCTTGGCACAGAAATACAAGGAAAAACCATCTGCCAAAGACAAACACATCTCATAGAGCAGGATTCTCCCATCCTCGACAAGGGGCTTCCCTGGCATCACAGGGCCGTGACATTTATGAAGGCCAAAGTGATTGGTCCTGAATCCACACCGAATTCTGATGGTCACCATTCCAGGTACAAAGTGGCAACCCAAAGCCCCTGTCCAAACCACAGGGTTAGCTTTCGGGTGTGGATTTCGCCTTCCCATTTGGCGAATGAGTACCTGACATGACCTGTGTGTTTCATGACCAGCTTCTCTGCGTGCATCAATCGGCTTCGTGTTCTTTGGAAAGGCTTTGCGTGGTTGACTAGACCGGCTCCAACGATGGGGTTCCAAAGACGAACGGAGCTGCAGAACAATTGAGAACATCCAGAGGGCATTGGGGTAAAAAGGTTGGGCAACTGCCCGGCAATGAGAAAGTCTGGAGGAAGAACTCCCCTACCACCAACAGAAGGCTCGAGAAGGTGCCCGGAAGACGACAAGGACTTCGGCGCATCTCACACGAGGGGGTGCGTCGAACTTAAGGTGCGCAGCGCTGCCCGGAAGACGACATTTCTCTCAGAGGGACCGGTTGTATATATACATATACATATACACATATATATATATATATATGCATGCATGTATGCATGTATACATATACACATATACACACATACACACATACACATATACACGTATACACATATACACATATGTACATGTATATATATATATATATAATATGCATGCACACACACATGCGTACACGTATACATATATATATATACACAGATATAGACATGCTGATCTGTATACACATGTACATATGCATATTTCTATACATACAATACATCTATAGATATAGACGTGTTGTTTGGATTCGGTTGAAAGTGAAACATTTATGCTCGCTCGGCTAAAAGCTTTCTGGTTGATTGGCCCAAATAAGCTCGCCAGGGCTTGCGACTTTTTGGTCTCCCTTTGAAACAGCCAAACAAAAGGCACCCCCAAAACAGGTTCCCTTTGAAACAAACAGGTAGCCTCACATATCACACACGTGGGTCAAAACCAATGGTACCATTTTGGGGCAGGTGCACCACACTCATTTCGAGAGGCGATTTCCCGATTTGAGCCAGCTTTTTTGGCCATCTTACCTTCTGCCTTTCCGGGGCAAAAATGAAACAAGCAACAAAAACAGCCTAAGCCAAACCAAACAAACCAAAGTCCTCAGCCTTCCCCGCCCATCACCCCGGACTCCTCCGGGGAGTAGCAGCTCTGCGTGAAGGCCGGCAGAGCGGAGGCGCGGGTGTAGTAGTCCTGCCCCAAATTGGCCGTGGCGTCTTGTTGTTTTTTGGCCCAATGAACAAAAGTCTTTCCAGGCATCCGTCTTTTCAGGACACCATCAAAACCCAGGTATAGGACACTTTTTGGCCCAACAAACAATTTGACTAAAATGGTCCAGACCCAAAAAGTGACTATAGACTGAAACAAAACTCAGCTGGGTCCTCCAGTAGAGGTTGGTTAGAATAATTTGGTACCCGATTTTTCTCTTTCTTTCGGTAGTCTATTTTAGTAGGGGAACCCTCCCCCAACAAAGGGGAGAGAAAGGCACTCCTGGGGGACCTAGCCCAATAAACAACATGAGAACAGATCTCCAGAGGCAAATCGAGGAAAATATGGTTGGCCATAAAACAAATGTCCAGTGAAGATATTCTGAGCTGCCAAGTAATTGACACAATGGCCATGAGTTGAATGAGAACATATTTCCAGCGGTGAAGCAAACAAATGTGGGTCTGTCTCAAAATAGGTATGTGTCATGCCGTGGATGGACGAAATCCATTCACACCACTTGGAAGCCATGGGAAACCATTGTCGGTTGGTATTTACAGGGGAATCGAATCATTCCGCAGGAATTCGTCCATCCACAGTACTTCCAGTGATAGACTCCCTTTAAACCCAACAGTGGAAACTAAAAAAACAACAACAATGAACAACAACAACAAAGATGGGCCTGCCTCAAAATAGAGGAAACCAGCGATGATGGCGTCTCCTTTTGGCTTCCCTTTAGCAACCCAAAAAGGGGAAATAAAACATGGGGGTTGATCAATATTCCTGGCCCCTGAATGGGTAACTTATACCCTTTACAATTAGAGATATCAAACATTGTGTGGGTTTCCAGCCACCCCACGTGTTATGTCTTACGGACCTTTTGATCAACCCCCACATGACTGTGGGTGAAAAATAGGTACCCAAAATGGGGCCCTGGCAAATGGAACCAAGGACTAAAACCTGCGTTCCATATCCTAGTGGTTTAGTTTTGTCCCACACCCACATTTTCCCCTGTTGGCTCTAAAGGGAAGTCTATCACTACTGGACAAATATATAAAAATATATATACGTATATATATATATATATATTTATTTATATGTGTTTTTCTTGTTTTAGGGCGGCTTGAGCAAATGGAAGGAGCTCAACCTTCCAAGTCTCGGAGGCAAGACCTCATTGACCCACTAGCCACACCCATACCCACATCTTCATTTTTGACCCATACCCACATCTCCATTTTTCCGACGGCCCCCTAGTGGTTTAGTTTTGTCCCACACCCACATTTTCCCCTGTTGGCTCTGAAGGGAAGTCCATCACTACTGGAACCAAGGACTAAAACCTGCGGCCCCCTAGTGGTTTAGTTTTGACCAGCCACATTTTCCCCTGTTGGCTCTAAAGGGAAGTCCATCACTACTGGAACCAAGGACTAAAACCTGCGGTTTGCTAGTGGTTTAGTCTTGACCACCCGCATCGCCATTTTTTCCAAAGCTCCCGGATCTCGTCGCTCTCCGGGAGCTCCGACAAGTTCCAGGGCTCCAGGGCTGCCTCCTCGGAGTGCCATCTGGATTTACGCGAGGCCGCCGGTTTAAGCATTCGTTGTGCCTAGAGGAAAACCAGGGGGGCTAGGTTTTCCAGATTTGAGAGGTTGGTTGGAATGATTTGGTGCCAACTTTTTCTGTAGTCTATTTTAGTAGGGGGTTTCCTCCCTAAAAAAGAGTACAGGGCACTACTGGGGGACCTAGAAGGGATTACCCATTTGCTGAGTTTTGGTTTCCCCCATAAACTAGAGGGATGTGAAGAAGGCCACATTTGCCTTGTTAACCAAAAGCACCACAGGGTGAAATGCAGGAAGGGACTGAATGGGAGAGGAGGGTGTGCACAACTAGAACGGGTGGCCTGAAATCAGCATAACAATGCGCAGTCAAGAAGTTTTGCAGCGAAAACGAGGGGAACCCCTTTGGTGCCTAGGTACTCTCCAACAGCTTAACCCGGATCGACAACACTTTTTGGGAACACAACCAGGTCAGGGGCGAAGTTCCGAAGGGTTCCTTCCGGAGGCCCAGCCAAGTGCAGGTCCCATGATTTTCAACTGCCCAGATGACTGGCCAGAAGCGTTTCCACGTCCTTTGCCCTTTTTGGTTACTTCCATTTGATTAAGACCCCAGGAAAAGAACAAAACATATTTCCACTAGTGATAGATTCCTAAAACCAACTGGGAAAAAATCGACATATTCTGAAGCACATGGAAGGTTATGTCATCCGCGTTCGATATCCATGGGTCCCTCTTCAGATCTGCCGTCACGGTCTGCAGGATGTAGAGCACTGGCAGCACTTGGCAGTCCAGCAGCGTAAGCCTGACCGGTGAACAAAACAGCTTCTCGTTGACACACCTGAAAGCGGCTCAAACACCAAAACAACATCTGGTGCAAACAGACAATTCGAAAGAACTTATTCTGCTTCACATTTAGTGTACTCTAAAATGCAGCAACGTTTTGGTTTGAAGATTTCCTTCGAAAGGGGACCCCCCAAATAACAAACGCAAACATCCCCGACAAACAACACACACACACACCAAAGTGATGAACCCATGAACACAACCCCCGCAAACAATCAAACAACCAACAAACAGGCTAACAGAAACATCTGACTCCCCACTCCAAACAAACCACACGGAATCAACGACGCAGAAAACACTGAAGGACACCCAGGTGCTACAGGACCCATCTCCTTTCTCAGGTGCTACAGGACCCAGGTGCTACAGTCTGGAAAATGTACACATACCCATCTCCTTTCTCAGTTGCCCAAAGGACCCGGACATAAAGGGATACTTTGACACAAAATGGACCAAAACGAGAAAACCCAACAGGTGAACAACTGAGCTTTTGGCTCTTTCTGTGAGAAAATTGTACGCATTGGGCTAGCAGACACCAAAGGAACCAAAAATCTGGCTGGCTCTCACTCTGAGGAGCTGGTCGCCGCACATGTACGGGGTCCCGATGGGGAGGTCGAACATATGCAGCCGGAGCTGTGAGATGGCCACCTGGACGTTCACCAAGAGGCTGCTGTCCGCTTCCTGCGGGCGTGGTCCCGACTCCCAGGGTCCAAGTATCTGCTAGGTCCTCCAGGTTTGAATAAGTTGGTACCCGCAAACTTCCCCAAATAGTGTTTACACTAAGGGGTTCTTACGGTAAGAGTTAAGGCCTGGTGTCGATCGAGGTGTCGGCTCAAATTGCTGGCCCTGTGCATAAAAAGTTGTCTTCGATGCGACAGTCTCGCACGAAATGGAGGTGCGGGGTGGTGCGTGCGTCTCGCTGTGGTGCCGTTCGCACTTTTCAGCTTTGGCTGGCAGGGGCAACAGTTGGGAGGTGCGGGCTGCGACGCGGGGTGTGTTTTTTAAGGACGCCTCGTGCCAAACACGATTTTTGAGACCCAAGTGAGTTTTTTGATGGCAGGGCCGCCACGCGGTGATATCTTCTTGTCGGGTCAGGCTACCACGCTTGGACAATCGGAGCTCTAAAACCATGGCAGTTGTCGCAAAAAGTTGTCTCGCGTGCGACAGCTTCGCACGAGACGGACCTTTCTTCAAAACTGCGCTCTCGCTGTGGCGCCGCGCCGATCTTCGGATTTGTGTGTTGCCGCAGAATTCCATGGCCAGCGCAGCATTCTGTGAGACTGCCGTGCATTTTTCGTGGTGGGCGCAGCATGTTTTGCGCTGATGCAAATGATGCGTGGCAGGCGCAGCATTTTCGGAAACAGGGTCTGTGAATTTCGTGGCAGGCGCAGCGTTTCGCTCATTTGCAGGCTTTGCAAGCCGAAAGTGAACCCTTTGCGGAGATCGTGCGTGTCGAAGTGCTCTGGCTGTGGCGCCGTGCGAATTTGTCTTGCGCTCGGCGAACCCTCTGCGGAGATCGTGCGTGTCGAAGCGCTCTGGCTGTGGCGCCGTGCGAATTTGTCTTGAGCTCGGCGAACCCTCTGCGGAGATCGTGCGTGTCGAAGCGCTCTGGCTGTGGCGCCGTGCGAATTTGTCTTGAGCTCGGCGAACCCTCTGCGGAGATCGTGCGTGTCGAAGTTCTCTCGCTGTGTGCGAATTCGTCTTGAGCGAACCCTCTGCGGAGATCGTGCGTGTCGAAGCGCTCTGGCTGTGGCGCCGTGCGAATTTGTCTTGAGCTCGGCGAACCCTCTGCGGAGATCGTGCGTGTCGAAGCGCTCTGGCTGTGGCGCCGTGCGAATTTGTCTTGAGCTCGGCGAACCCTCTACGGAGATCGTGCGTGTCGAAGCGCTCTGGCTGTGGCGCCGTGCGAATTTGTCTTGAGCTCGGCGAACCCTCTGCGGAGATCGTGCGTGTCGAAGCGCTCTCGCTGTGGCACCGTGCGAATTTGTCTTGAGCTCAGCGAACCCTCTGCGGAGATCGTGCGTGTCGAAGCGCTCTCGCTGTGGCACCGTGCGAGGTGCGACGTGCCCTCCCGCATCTCCGGCTGCGCAGGCAACGTTTACGTACAAAGCTGGCGCGCAAAGTGCGCTCCCGCATCTGCGGCTTGAAATTCTCAACTTCTAGGAGCAAAAAGTAGTACGGGAAGCGCGTTCCTGCAGCTCCGGCTGTAAAATCGCGCTTTTAAGTACAAAAGTAGTATGCGAAGAGCACTCCGGCTGCAAAATCGCAATTTTAAGTTCAAAAGCAGTACGCGAAGTGCACTCCCGCAGCTCCGGCTCGAAGTTCGCAACTTCTAGGTACAAAAGTAGTTTGCGGAGGACATTCCCTCAACTCCGGTTGAAAGCTCGCAAGTTTCAAGTGCAAAAGTAGTACGCGAAGAGCACTCCAGAGCTCCAGCTTGCAAAATCGCAATTTTAAGTACAGGAGTAGTACTGGAAGTGCACTCCCGCAGCTCCAGCTCGAAATTGGCAGGTTTTTAGTGCAAAAGTCCTACGCGAAGTGCGCTCCGGAGCTCCAGCTGCAAAGTTGCAACTTTGTATGAGTGTACGAAGTGCGTTCCCATGGCACGAGGCTCGCAACTCTTAAGTCCAAAGTTGTACATTAAAGTGCATTCCCGCAGCTCCGGGTGCAAAATCGTAAATGGCAACGTGCGCGCGAAGCGCGCTCGCGCGGTTCAGGTAGTATGCAAAGTACACTTCCGCAGCTAAAATTGCCAGCAGCTGCTCACAGATATGGACAAGAGAGTTTTTCAACAGAGGACATGAAAGATTTGGCAAGAGAGGTTGCAGAACATCATGCGCAGCATCATGCGCTGCATTTCGCGCAACGTCATGCGACATCGCGCGCAACATCACGCGCAACATCACGCACAGCTTCGCGCGCGACATCAAGCCACAGCATCACGCGCGCGAGAAGTTGACAGGAGAGATTGTGAAGCATGATGCTGAGCTTGCTCATCAGAATCTACGCTTGCGCAGGGGCACCGACGTGTTTACGATCTCATCAGGTGGGAGAGGCGTCAGTGTTTATTTAACGTTTTTCTATGCTTCTGGGCCACCTGTCGTCAAGTTGGACGCAATACTATTTGGGGTCTCTTGCCGGGATAATTTTTTGTTTGGGGGGTGCTGTGTTTTTGTAGGGGAACCCAAAAGCCCAAAAAAATGGTAAAAGGGCACTACTGGGGGACCTAGTCTGACAGTTTTGGGTTGACTCGTTCGGGAATTCGTCAGCTTTCGTACCAAGGCATCCTTTGGGAAAAGGTTCTGAACATGGAGTCTTTCAAAAGGAGGGGTTCCCAAATCCCCCCTAGCTGACATCCCAGTCTCCGAGTTCATCGACAAGGCCATGTAAGGCCTTTCCCAAACGTCGTTCTGTTGGTGAAATCCTTCCTCCCGCCAATGGGGTCGGGTATATTGCTTTTTAGGGTACCCTTTTATGCGGATTCAGAATCCAGCTTGCAGGCCCCAAAGCTCCACTTCCCACTTCTTCATGAGCAGTTTGGCTTCCTCAGGCCGCTTGGACATGCTCTTGCCTTTTTCCAACGCCAAGCCCTCATGAACAGGACATGCAAAAACGGTGAGGTGTTCGGAGACCGGCGCCTCATTTGTGTTCTTGTTGTACGCGGCGATGGCTTCCAAGAGGCCGCACTTGGAGAAGACCTCGTGAAACCTCGATCCAATCGATCCATTGGAGTTCCGAGAAGCACCAAGGCGCAAAGTAAACTGAGTCCCTTCACGGATACCAGCTGGGGCCAGCAAACAAATCATTAGCTAAGTCAAAGGATTCCGTTGTGAAGCAGGCGATGTTTGGATGTATCTTTAAGAAGGCCTAACTGCGGCCTAACCAAGCTGATACAAGGACTGTTCTCAAAACGGAAGCTTCATCCAGGTAGCAAACATCCCTTGTGATCTACTAGAACATCACAAGTGGGTTCCGGCTTTCAGGGAGAAACGTTCTCTGGGCAAACTTAGGGCGCATCAACTTGATGAAACTGCCTGTTGCGCCTGTTGATCTTCTTGTGGCTGGATGTTCTTTTCTCCCTCGAAAACATCCCGAAGACGGTCCGGCCCGAGTTTGGACACATATCCAGCCACCCATGCAGGCTACCGCCAAACACGTGCATACTACAAAATCGGAAAACAGACGTGCACCGTGGCGTGTTCAAGCACTGACAAGCGAACAGTACACATATATGCATGCATGCATGCATGCATGCATGCATGCATGCATGCATGCATGCATGCATGCATGCATGCATGCATGCATGCATGTATGTATGTATGTATGTATGTATGTATGTATGTTGCATGCATGCATGCATGCATGCATGCATGCATGCATGCATGCATGTATGTATGTATGTATGTATGTATGTATGTATGTATGTATGTATGTATGTATGTATGTATGTATGTATGTATGTATGTATGTATGTATATGTAAATGCATGTATGTATGTATGTATGTATGCATGTATGTATGTATGTATGTATGTATGTATGTATGTATGTATGTATGTATGTATGTATGTATGTATATGTAAATGCATGAATATGCATATGTTTCACATGATATCTGAGCAGCTCAGTATACTTCACACACCTGAACAAGCAAGGAACGATTTACTCGTTGGCTCAACGATGGCTCTTTGATACCGCGGTATCGCATGCTATCTACAGCTCCTGCCACGGCTCTTTGGATGCGGCACACCTTTCTCGTTTCAGAGGTGCTACACGAGCAGTCATACTGTCGGCTCACTCTATGGGTTTATGAGTTTGGCACACTCCCCCCCAAGAACGACAACAGTGGTGTTCCTTTTGGTTTCCCCTTTTGACCCACAACTGCAAAAGCCCAAACCAGAAGTGGCCCAGCGAGCTTATCCACACCGGATCCTTAGCCCACATCTGTGCACGGGAAAGCATATCTTCAGATCCAGTTTCAGAAAATCTTGAGATTTCAATACTGACCTGCACAGTTGACTGGTCAGAAAACTTCAAACTTCTTCGGGCTTGACTGAAATGATACAGTCTCACAAACCAACAAAATGCTTGAATTTTGCCAACTATCGACTAAGGTGGGCAAGCTGCTCTTCCGGCACCGCCAGGGAGGGTCCGGGGAACTCCTGGTCGATCCACCTGCACGAGGGAACTTTTGGCTAGGTTGCTCTTCCCTGAAAGAAAGAGTACTTGGGTGTTCGTTGCCATGGTTAGCCACCAGGGTTCTAACCCACTAATAACAAGGTGATCTCCACTTCGGGGACTGGTAAGTAGTTGCCATAACCTAGGTTGCCAACCACTTGCCTTGGCCAATCAAACACCCAAGAAATTTTTCTGCCATGCCCACATGGAATCTAGAGGACCCTTGTTTGGGCTCTTCCCCTAAAGGTCGATCGCCGGTTTAACGGAAAAGCCATTTGTAGGTCCTACGGGGCGATTCGGTCACAAAGACCAGCGCGGGACCTGCCAAAGGGAACAAGCGTGCCACTGACAATTTGGTTTGAAGCAAACACTGGTTCCGCTGAAAAAAAGGAACCATAAGTTGAACTTGCATCTTTCTTGCTTGTAGATGATTCTGTATACAGTGCATCACTCAAGCTTCTTTCGTTTTCACATCACCCCAGCCCCCAAAGTCTTGACAAGGCAGTGCCGCGATTTGGGTCGAGCACGTTTGGAGTGACAAGGCTATCGGTTTGCGTTGGAGGCTAGGCCCAACCCTTTCTTGGAAAACCGGCCCGGGCAATCGACGGTCAAGCCCGCATATTCTATCGGGGGAAGCCTAAGATGGCCATGGGTTTCTTCTTGGCTTCCGAATCAGCCTCGAAGGGCACCCTGAAAACAAGACCAAGCGTCGAGATGCCAAAACCGAAGCCCACACAGGCAACCTATCATTTGAAAGAGTCCGTCTTCTCGCTACAGCACCAACACCGTACCGCGAGTGCTGGCAAATGTCCAAGAATGCCAGGCTTGCCCTTACGCAAAAGAAACCGAGCGGGTTTGTAGCACGTCAACTTGGTGCTAAATCACTATTCGTCTGTTGGTTTCCTTTGGCCACGTCCCAAAGAAACACAACCAATGTCGACTTGCTCTGAGCAAAGGTCTCACCAGGTTCAATGGAAAACCCATTTTCAAAAGCTCTTTTGGGGGCGATTCGGTCGTTTGACCGAATCGCCATGACTCTCGGTCCTATCGAATCCCGTCAATTTGGCCAATGTCTACCAAAGAGAGACGCTAGGGACAAATGAAGAACACGAACAAACAAAGGGGGGACCCAAGGAAAACGAAAAACAACGCCAAGGGAACCCATTCAAACGACGACTAAAACACCCAATGGAAGTCAAGGGACGCCAACGGAAGCCAGTGGAAAGCCAAACAAACTCCGCTGAGGACTGCGCTTGAGGATCTCCGCAGACTCCACTTTCGCCACACCGCCGTGCACCAACTGAGGCGTCGATGGAAACTGAATCGACATTGAAAAACACGGCCAGTTGGCAACTGGTTTAAGGAAGGGGGGGGATAGGGAAAAAGGGTTTTTAAAGGAATTCTAGGGAACCCTATGACTCTGAATTACCCACCCCCCTTGTAACTAGCCCCCTAGGGTTGTTGGGAACTGATTTTGAAGCCACCGAAACAAAGGAACCACGCCATGTCACCAGTCTTGGCCCTCCTTAGCTGGACCACAACGAAAGACACGGCAATCAGACCGTGCAGGGAGCATGCTCAAAGCAACAGCCAGGGGGGCACGCCCCCCCAAATCGGAGGTGTTCCATTTGCTTTCCACTGTAAAGCACCCCAAAAAGGACACCCTTAAAACATCACCCAAGTGCAAATGGCTCATTGCACTCTAGCAGTGGTCTGGAGCCAACCAACAAGTTGACCTCTTCCATCGAAACATAAATTCTTTGAAGACAGTCTCGACACTCACCCCTGATCCGTTTGGGGCATTGGAGCTGTTGCCTAGATACCTGCGGCTTCTACCTGGAGCTCAACCCGGTCACTTCAGACTTGAGAAATACCCTCCAGGTTGTGTGTCAACATAGGGCTTCCCCTCACTGGCCACTCAGAATGGTGATTTTCCTTTCGTTTCCCCTGAAAGCAAGATGATGTTATTTTGCTTTTGAACCGACACACAAACACACACACACAAACACACGCACAGACACACACACACACACACACCCACCCACCCACACACACAGACACACAAAAACAAGGGGAACCTGACAAAGAGGGCGGGCCCCCTTTTGCGCAGGAACACACGGGCATGACGCTCATAAAGTTGTAACTTGCCCGGCGGGTCTCTTCGGGATTCCCCTTACAAATGGAAGCCGGGGTTTTAGGAAATTGACTCTGGGTTTGAGTCGAAAAAGGGTACTCCAAAAATGGACACTGGCTTCCAAAACGCCCTCCAAACAGAACGGTGCAGGGTTCAAACCGACTGATCGCATCCCAGGATAAGCTGAGGGAATCTAGGCGCCCAAAGTGAATCTTTGGCAAGCCCCGCGAGCGTGGATGGTCATACGTTTTCCTCAGTCAAAGGCCGTTGATCGTTTGTGGAAGTGTCAAACATGAGCCAAACTTAGGAATTCAATCTCAAGACCCAGTGCTGGAAAGCCATTACTCAAAGACCTACAAGGAGAACCCCTTGCGGTGACAGCTCAACAAATCAACATCTCATTTCTTGAGTGGAATGACTTCTTGAGTGGATGGGTAAAACAAAAACAAAAACACACTTTTTGTTTGCCACTAGAATAGTCTTCCCAAAACGGATGAACTCAGGGAGTGAGCGGATTGACCAAAAACAACCAACCTTTGGCACCACCCTGTTCCCCTGAATATTCCCAGTTTTTGGGTCCCAATCACCACGGGAATGGGATGGGACTGGGCCATTTACAGCTCGTTACCTCTTGACCGAACTTTCGATCCAAATCGTCTGCAATGGAACCCCCACCTTCGATTTCCCTTAGATCATTCAACGAAGGCTACCGATCTAAGGATTTTCCTATTACGCCCTGGGATTACACCCTAGGAAACAAATACACCAACATAATCCCAAATCAACCAAAGCAACCAGGTGCTTTCTGGAAATAGGCCAGAACCAGGTGATAGCGAGAGGTAGTCCCTAGGAGCAACCCTTGGACCGATTCGAGAGTTTCACCCAAATCCCCCCTCCCCCCACAGCCCAAAACAATCCAACAGTCAAACTACCCAGCTCAACAGTCCAACAGAGCCAACAGCCAGCCCAACACAGCTGAGCAAAAGCCCCTGAGCTCGGTCCGGTCCGGGGCGCGCAGGGCATCTTGCCTTCGACCTCGCTCACCAGCCAGGCCGGCTTGTTGTCCGCCGTGCAGGGCACCACGTCGTAGTCCACACCTTTCAGCTTCCTAAGCCAAGGCACTCGGAGCTGCACAGATGGTGGAACCAAACGGGTCAAAATATTTTTCCCTGGTGCTTAAAGGGTGGTTCCCGTGAATACCTAAACAGGGAAATGGTCCAGTTGCAGGTTGACCCCAAATTCATCAACTCCAGTTTAGGCGGGTGGGGGCCCCCTCCAACCAGGTTTTGGGGCCAATGATCGATTTAGAAGGAAACCAAAGGACATACCTCCGTGGATGTTTGCGATACCAAGCAATGATTTCAACCATGGATTCCAAGTGGTGCGAATGGATTTCGTCCAGCCACGGGTAGAGTTTTTTAAACCAATGCAGTCGCGCGGCTACCCAAGGCTTAAGAAAACCCAGACACCCCCAAAGAGATGGGCGCAAGGCGCAACAAATCTACAGCCAGACGAATTCTAACCACAAGACAATCGGAGTCGGCGTCTCAAGCACAGGTCCTGGATGGCTTTATGGGGTGTATGGAGTAACGGTTTCCTGAGATCCTGCCCAACCACCAACCCTGTGCAAACACCTGGCTTCTCACAAGAACAAACCTTGAGAATAAAAGCAGAGAATCAACCCCTCAATTCTTGGCGGAAAACAAGAAAAAAACAACAAAAACACAACTCGGGGAAAAAAAAGCCGTCTCCAAAGCTCCAAAGCTATCCCCAAGCCTAGCCAGAAACTTTGGCTCTTTTTAGGGAACCCCCCCTTTCGATTTCAGAGGGACACCCAAGGAAACAACCCAGTTCGCGTCTCACAATAGAAACGACTCCTTTTGAGTGGTAAAAGAAAGACCCAAAGAAACCACCTGGAGGACTTGGTCCCCAATTTTCAGAAACATCCATTTCTTGCTTCCTGAGTGGACTGGCCAACCACTTCTTTTACGGACCTGACCAGCTGACGATTGGTCGCTCGCTCGCATTCGCTCCGAGCAGCAGGGCCATCTGCACGGAGTGCGAGAAGGGGCAATCCCCCAAGGAGCTTCCGTCGGGACCCGCCTTGGTGAAGAGCGTCCTGAGCTCAACGGCGTCCAACCAAGGCCCAAAACACAAAAGGTTTCTATAGGCCGAAAGGCCATAGTAAAACAAAGATAAGACTAGGTAGCTTTTCACCACCTGCTAAAATACCCATACTAGGTAGCAACACTCATTGAGGATTGGTTCTACCAAGATGGCTATAAACGTTTACGTAGGCCTTAACATAACCATGAAGCCAGGTAGTAAAAACACATATATGGTTTCCTACTTTTGTGGTCTCTAAAAACACCGGGTGGGCAATCTCCAATACAGTCTCAGATCGGACATCAGGCACCCGAAATTCTAAGGCCCTTCATGGCCCGAAGCCGAAGAAAGTCGTTGGCATAGCCACGGAGCCACGCTCAATGTTCAGGTTCTCCAAATGATTGGGGACCCTTTGGCCACCAACCACTTGTGGCTGGTAGTAACTCTTAAAATCCATATGGGTTTGTCTCAACATGAGGGGACCCTCAAAATGAGGGTGCTCCAAATGACATTGGATTCGAGTGATCCTTTGGGCATGCAGTGAGATTTTGGGAACCTGTGGACTCATGTCCACCAACCACTCTTGATTGGTGGTTGCAACTCTTAAAATTTGTCAACATAATTCTTTTGATTTCCCTTTAAACCAACTCCAAAAAGGGTGCCCTCAAAAGGATGTACTCATATGGGGCATTCCTATGATTACCTTTATCGCTTTGAAGGAGGTTCCCTTGAAATCAAGTGTCGCACAAAGTGAGTGTGTCTTGTTTTAAAGGTACCCTTTGTCTGGTGGTCTTAAAGGAACACCACCAGCCCGCCCCCCCGCCGAGTCGCGTCTTCGTCGGCTTCTCGGCGGGTACGGCGGCCAAACGCACCCGTGTCGAGCCTCAAAAATTACTCGAGCAGCCCGGAGGATGCCAAGTGCAACAGTCGCCAGCTGCTGGGTGAAGCTTTGTTTTTCTTGAGCCATGGACGGGTGCCCCCTATTTTATGATTGCATTTGGGTAAGGGTTCAGGTCCCCTTTACTATAGTAATTATGGTACATATTCACAGTAGCCCATACGTGCCATGAGACTTTTTGTGGGTCATGGTCTCCTTTAGAAGCCTTACAATGTTTGTACCCATTTTTTCCACAACCAGGGCTGTCCTCAAGTCAAAGTTTAACTTTTAGTTGGTTTAGTTGACACATGCATCGGACATGTGAACGAGTTATGAGATATACGCAACGCCAGCTACTTGGAATGGTCAGTCTCCTCTCTGCATGAGCAAACTACGCAGCATCAATCAATGGGCTATCTCCGAAAATTGGGATGTTGAGCCTCACCAATGAAGCTCTTCCTTTCCGGCTGCCCTTTCAAGCTCAAGTTCCGTTGACACGCCTCATTGGTAACCAAGCTGAAGCCTTGAAATCAAGGCTTTTACACCCGGAGCGCTGAGCAACGAGCCTCTTTTGATCTGCCGGTTTTTCATCAAAATCCACCGGCCTCGAATCGAAGGGTCTCAGGGGAATCCCGCTCCAAAAGGCTGCAAGGGGATAGCTGTGGCTCAGATGTCAAAATGTAAAGACCGCTGAAACGAGCAACACGAGGATTTGTACAATATATGTATGCATACCTATACTTCTATACGATATTACGCAAAACAAGACACACAGCTAACACAGCAAGTCCACTTGTGGACTTACGCCCGAATCGCCACTCTCGCCTCTCGACTGGCTCGGCTTGGCGGCCTGCGTTGAGCGCCCGTTTACCACGGCTATGTCTTACAGGGGTGTGACATTTGAGGGTAGTCTTTTTGGGGTTTCAAAAGGGAAGTTTCAGAGGACACCGCCCGATTTAGGGGTTCCCTCATTTTCTCATTTTGAGACATGTCGGTACCAAGTAGAACTATCTCCTAAGAACCTCTCGGCACAGGCCTATGACTTACCCCAAGCGACTCGAGACGAAGAAAATACACAGTAAAATCAGTACCCTTCTCCCACTAACACTGCACCTGTGGGAGGGTACCTGGAAGATCAGTTCCTCTTGGAGAGACCCTCAGTCAGGTGCCATGTTAGCAAGAGGGAGGATCCCAGTTTCTTTGGATAGCTTTTCCATTCAACGGGGTTGTTTCGACTCACCTGATTTGGCAGCTGTTAGGCACATTTCGCCAACGCCCGGCAAATGGTGGTCGGTTTCTCGTTTACAAGAACGCGCAGCCACAGACTTGGAGCGACCCAGAACGGGCTTCACACATTTTTGCCCTCGAGACACAAACGGGCCAACATGCAAGCCCTCCCTGACTTGCGGAATGGAGCTTGCTCAGCAACCCCTATCGCCTAAACAAGTGAACACAAAGTCTGCGTGTAACAGGAAAAATGCTTTGATACCAATCTCCAAACCCGCATCTCACATGGACAAGCGGCATCTTGCTTTTGATCCAAAAGGGATTGAGCAAAGCAAGCAGCAAACAGGACACATGGGGCCGCGCTTGGGAATTGGGCAAGCACCCTTTTCAAATGTGCATGCAGCTCGTCTGAGCTTGAATTCACCGCATTGCTGTGATTTGGCAGATCAATGGTACCTGGGCTACCCGCAAATCCCCGGCGAAAAGTTGAACTTGTTCTGGGTTGAATGGAGACTGGAGACTCGCACTAAACACTAAAAGCTAAATAGCTAAGGAACCGGATGGCGAGCCACCCAGGTGCCATTTTTCTGTCACTGTGTTCGAGCTCCGAGTTTTTTGAGGATAGCTCCATCGATTATGCTGGCTGACAATCGAGAAGCCTCGTTGGCAAGGGGATCAGGATACAGGAAACGAACCAGCGAACACAAAGCACATACAAAGGGGCATGTCTTTCTGAGTGGATGGGCCAAACAAAGTTCAAACCTTTTGTTTGCAGCTGAAAAGGGTCTTCCTAAGTGACTAGAGTCCAGAACCTCATGGCGTGAGGTAACAGAAAGGCGGGCGTCAATTGTGGCCGGGATTGTCTCTTACTGATCTTGATTTTGGCTCAACTGTGCCCTCGGTTGGCATGGCCCAGCCACTCCAAAGTCAGAATTGGCCGATCAACCCTTTAGCCGTCGCTGGTGGGAGGAAAAGGCGCTACTTGGAGTCTCCACACCCCCTCAAACATGAGATTAATGTACCCATCGTTTTGGGTGTGTGACTCTATGTTCGGCAGATTGCTCTTCTTTTATGGTTTTCACCAACCCATGGCGGCCCCTTCTGATCTAAGAGCCCAAATGATTAGAATGGTGGTGGCACTTAAAACACTGAGCGTCATGGAGACTCCAGGTATCTCAGAATGACTTCGACACCCGCAACATGGGGTTGGATGTTGCCCTTTGAACCATTAGCACCCAGCACTTCTTAAGCCGTGTGCGCCTGCACCTATTGACTTGGGTTTATCCATCCGATGTTAATATTACGAACTCCGAACGTCCGGACGTATGATGGTCTTGCTGGTGCGATAGGCACGGAATGACCTTCCGGCTGTTGGGAATGCACCGGTTTCGGGGGGATTTCCTGACTGAAAACCATAGACCGGATGCTTCTTTAATGCTCGTCATTCCCATTTCTTCCCTACGCACCAAGAGGTCAGCGGAGGTCAGCGCCTTCAGCGCAAAGAGCCCGCCCAGCGCAGCCACTGGTGCCCAGTGGCCGCGAGCCCGCGACGAAACCGGAAGCGAAGCCGGCGATGTGCGGGTTGAAGAGGTCGCCTCGCGGGCGCGGGGCAAATGGGGCGGGCAAGCCTTGGACTGGGCTTCCGTTCAAAGCAACAGGTTTGCGGCACGCAGGGCTGGTTTTTATGAACAAACCAGATGGGATCTTCCGCAGATTGGGGCCAACAGCATTTCCTTTGGGTCGGGGCCGGTCGGGGATGGTGAAACCATGAGACACTTTTGGTACAGTCCCTGACGGGTGATCTTGCAGGCTACGGGTTCTCAAGGAAAAGGGGCCCGGGTGGCCCCCAGTTCTACTTTTTGAAGTCGTCCCCCGAGGGAAGAACTTTGCAATACATGGAATTCCAGGTGGCTCTATGGAAGTGGATGGGCCTTTTCAAGTCTTCCGCAAGCTGGTCCACATTTAACGGGCTTGACGGAAAGCTGCGACAACCCGCGCCACTTGTTTGAGGCTCAACTGCTTCAGTCAAAAAGAAAGCCAACAAATAGATGGATCCACATCTTCTTTCGAAAACACACAAACCGATACACAAGAACGGTTGTGTCTTAGTCGACAGGCGCAAACACATCTAGACTACTATCTGAATGGATTTCTGGCCGGGTGGTTTCAACTGATTGTGCCTAACCCTAGCCACTATAAGCAAGGATAGCTTCGATGTTCTTGTTCGCCTTGTCCTGTGTAAGAGTTCTTAACTAGCCTACAAACTGAGCTCCAGTTGACCCTGACGACACGAGCATACACAAATCAGGGAATCAGGGGACATCCACCGCTAAGTGATGGCCTTGGGACCTGGAGGGCTGAACATCTCATAGCCCACGGGCCGCACTCTCCGAAGGAAACTCGTGCCTCTGGGCATGCCTGCTCTATTTTTTCTTGAGCGTATAAGCATGAGTAGGATGGGGTTGTGGGGTACTTATGAACAAACACGCCGCCACGTGCAACATGTGGATACTTCAAACTCTCCATGCGAAAGTCCACAAGCATCAAAAATGAGCCTCCCCGGTTCGGCGTCCTCAATGAGCCTTTGAATCCAAAGGGCTGTTGTGATGATAGCCGGAGTCTGAGTGCTCGCATTTGTGTTGAGGGCTGGGGCTCGGCTCAGAAACAGTTTGCTTCGTCAGATACAAACTTCGCACATATCTAAGAGGACACAGGCGCAGTACTGCACTCGATGTTTCCAAGACAGCCAATTCTCCCACACATCTTTGGCTGCAGGTCACTCGGAATTCCGACTGGATCCTGCTTCTTTGGCACCTAAGGTGCTCAGTTTCTACATTGTGAATTACTTCAAATCGCCGCTTCCCCGATCGATCCGATCTTCCCCATTTCCCCCACTGAGCCTCGCCCCTTCCCGCCTTCCCCCCCCGCCCCCCGCCCCTGTCTGCCTGCTTGGCACGTAAGCCCGGCGGCGAGTTGAGGCCCGCAACTGCAAAGGCCAGATCCATGGCTCCAAAAGTGAAACGAGCCACGAGCCCGGATCTTCTCTCTCTGAGCCAAGAGATTTCGATCAGCGGGACCCAAATTTTGGAAGAAATGCAGTCAACCCTACGTGGCAGCTTCTCCAAACCCAGAAACGGAGCAAAACGTCCAAAGCTTGCCGCTGGAAAAAGACGAAGCCGGAAAGGCAGCGGCACTTGATGGAAACGATGAGACGTGTCTCAAAGTGCCCCCAAATCGCCTACTCCCTTTAAACACATGTAAGCAGGTTCAACATTTTGAGACACCTCCAAATGGGTGTGTCTCACAATGGTGGAGCCCTCTGGTGAAAAAAAGGGAACCCTTATCATTGATAGTGGGCATGCAGGGCGTTTTTTTGCTTCCCCTCAAACCATCCCCAAGACATATACTAAAAAGAAAGGCACGCCATGTTGGGCTGGTGCTTGACCAACCCCCAGATCAAGCTTGACCAAAGACCCGGTTGCACACGTGCTTCACAACAGCTGCTGTTGTTGGACACACTTTCTTCTAGTTAATCTTAAAAGCCGGTCCAGCGCAATTCTTCCACTCTACGAGACCCCCCTTAAGGCAGTGGATTCCCTTACGACATATTGCAAATTAGCCCAACACAAACCGAATTGGCTTACAGATACTTTAAGTACGCTAGTTGTTCCCTACTTCCAAAACTTTGCCTCTGCCCAAAATCATGGAAGTGGACGATCGGAGGGTATCGGAAGACGAGACCCATCCTCTTGAAAAGGCCCCGCGTCCACTTCCATGATTGGAACGAGGGTATCCGAGTATTGGTTCAACCGCAAAATGGGAACCTAAAACCCACTTTCCTCACAGTTACTACTCTCACTTCCTGAGCGGATTGGCCTAAATCGAGTCTGAACGTGCTATCTGCCTCTAAAATGGCCCACACCCCAAAAGTGAGCCAACCTCCGAAACGGAACTCAGGGGGTGCAGACAGGTTCACCCCGTGTTCACCTGCTCATTCGCTCCAAACACCTGGCCATACAAACTGGGCCAAGGGCAGGCGAAAACTCGCTCAGTCCAGGGCGCCCGCCTTGCGATTGAACGAGCTCGGCGATCGATGCATCGCCAGCGACGTGCGCAGTTTGGGACCCAGAAACAACTTGGTTGACGTTGGAAGGGGAGCAACAATTCTCAAATTTGTAGCAGTTAAGTGGTTGGATTTCAACCACTAAACTGCAATAAGCAAAAATGTGAAATGTTTCCCAGCGACAACCACCTGGAAAAGTTGCGCCGATCTCATTGAAGCGATCGCCACTTGTGGAGGCCCAAGGGAAATGGAGGAAACCCTGTTTGGGGCCACCGAAAATTTCAATCCTCGCCCAATTTTGGTCATTTGGAAACCTCGCTTGCTTGCTTTTTGTTTGATCAAAAGGACGATTTGCTTTCAAGTGTGAAGCTGCCAGTGCCCTCCAACGACTTTTGCACATGCGCTTCGGACATGGGGACCGTAGTCTTCGGGATCATGCTACTCCAAGGAATGCCCCGTCAATGAACTAAGTAGCACTACAAGGGGAACTGGCGGCCGAAGTTGACATTGCTTGGTGGTGGGTTGTTGAAGGAACGTCAAGGCAGGCCCGCCATTTCAAAGGAGTGCCTTGTCTAAAGTTAAGACATGAGCTCATCACTTGCAAATGATGTGCTGGTGACTCCAAATTGGCGCTTCTAAAATAGAGAACCTGCAAAATTGTGCTTTCCATTTGGGCATGTCTCAACATAGAGGGGGCCCTATTGTGATCTTCCTGCTGGTTTCCCTCTAAACCAAAGTGAACATGGTGCGAACAATTGGGAACCCATTCGGCTTCCGTAAGCAAGCTGAAAGGGGATTCCTCCTCAAAAGAGAAACCTGAATCGGAGACTGGGCCCCTCTCCTTCGCACAAGCCCATGTCCATTTGAGGCCGCACGGCGCTCAGTACAGGGATTCCTCACCACCAACGTGTGTGGGAAGGGTAACAAGTACCGTTTCAAATGGCCAATTCGAGCCATGTTCACGGGTGCCAAGAACGGCTCTAAGACTGCTCTCCAACGTTGGCTATTCAAAGCCTTCACGTCTTGGAGCAGTTTTCGCACCCCGTTTTTCTTTGTTGCAACCAAACATGTTCACGAAGAATACCGCAAACACGGCTGTGCCGTGGACAAGGACATCGCTATGAAAAGCGGCGGACACACGAGAAATCAAAGTGTTTCAGATAATTCCCCTATGAAAAGGAAAGCATGATGATTCTCAAGCTTCTACCTCAACTCCAAAGCTTTGGCTTGAACCCGTCTCCAGGAAACTCGACAGGAAGTACTCAAATACCCACCGAATACCAGAGCCGTGGCTATATACCAACCAAACGCTCATGAAATACCAGGGCTTTGGCTATCTGGCACATTCTCCTTGGAGCTGGTTTCTTAGAGAAGCGAATGTGAATCAACTACAAACCCCACCTCGCAAAGGCCATCCACCCAGGGAATCACCTGCTGCCTCACGGGTTCTCGGCCGAACGTGGACTCTTTTCCTGCCTATGTCTCCAAAAGGGAACCCGTAAATAGGGTAGTTTCCTTTTAGTTCCTTTTAAGTGTTAAACCAACTCTAAAAGGAGATGCTCTCAACAAACAAAGACACCCTTGGGTTTTGCCTCAAACTCGCATGTCGTTTTTTTTTCTTCCCCTGCCCAGCCAGGAAAGGCGCACATTTGCTAGGAGTTTCGCAACCTGGCTGCCCGGAAAGGGAGAAACCAAGCACGGGACGGTTTCGAATGTAGCTGTAGTGGCAGGGGGAAGCAACTCTCATGCTTCTCCTACGCACCAAACATATGTGTCTGTACGAACTAGTTTGAGTCGCTCGTGTATTCCAGCCTGAAATAATTTCTCCTTTATCCGAAGCATTGCATGTCCTTAAGGACCTCATGTTCTTGGCATCAGTCAGTCATGCTTCCTTTGGCACCTTCGTTTTGGGGTAAGCACCGGGAAAGTACAGGACTGAGGGGAGGTGCCACCCAACAAATGAAGGATTTCGAATATCGGGCCAGCCCCCTATATCTGCCAGGGGTTCGTTAGTTCTGGGTTGACATTAATGTTGACCTCGGGTTCATAAATCCCTGTTCATTAACACGGGGGCGTCCCTGGCTTTAGAGGGGGTTCATCACTTTTGGAGGGGAACACTCTCATATTAATCATTGACCCGTTGACACTAGTCCACTCTTGGACTCCTGATTGACTCTGGCTGCAGCCGAGCTGCAGAAGAAGCAACGGTGCCAAAGCCAGACCCGCCTAGCGCACGGGACGCGAGCGACACACCGAGAGTACAATAAGAGCATCAGGACCCTCCTACGGCCCTGCGGCTATCAAATGGCCCAAAAAGCAATGGGACAACAACTTGATGCTGACTACTCTCTCACTTTCAAGGGGGGTTCCTTGCAAAGAAGGCACTAAACAAACCATTCGGGTGTCGTGGCAAAGAACAAATCACTCGGATCTGCCTTTGATTGATGTGCAAAACGGTTTCTTTCGGGGCTCTCTTTGAACAAGCCGAAAAAGGTATCATCAACAACACGTACAGGGCATTTGAGCCGGTCTACAGCAAGGGATCCCAAACCTTTCGCCGCATTTCCACCTCTCCTTGAGGGGTGTGGGTGGGTATTGGGAAGGGCCTAAGAGGCTCTCCTGGGCTGCCCTTAAAAAGACCTTGAGGCTTCAATAGGTGCCGGGCCCCCTTGCCCCACCCAGTTTGCCCCCTGAGGTCCATGACATATGACCCCTACTCTTGTAGTTTCATTGAAGGGATCTCAAACGGATCACTCTTGACCCCCACAGATTAACATGGGACCCCAAACATGGGGGGGGTCCATGGAAAAGGAGGTGCCTCTAAAACTGGCGTTTTTTTTTTTGGGGGGGGGGTTGCTTCCGTTCGGCTCGATTTCGCAAAAGTTTTCGGAGCTGGCCAAACAGAAAGCGGAGGCTGTCTCCCATCTTGAGTCTTCATAACCCTTGAAACAGGTTGTCATATGGCTGTGGCTCAAAAAAGCGGTACCATTTTTTGGGCCCTTGGATGGAAACAAAGACCAACACCTGCGTAACCCTTGAAACATGTTGTCGTATCTTTGCAATCCAAGCGGTATGGGCTTGCCAAAAAGACAAGCCAACCTGTTTTGTGCGCCCTACTAAAAATGAACAGAACCAAACATCTAAAAGCAACCAAAAACATGCCAACCACCCCGTGCTTCTATTTCGCAAGGAGACTAAGTACACATCTAAAGAATCGCCTACACTTTGAAGCAAAATGTCTCATTGAAGAACCCTTTGGGAACCCTTCATGAGAGTGGTCAGGTGTCAAGACAGTACGGAATTTGACCAGCGCCATTCCAATACCAGAGCCATAGCAAGCGCCGTGGATGGTCATGGATTAGCCTTATCCTGGACCTTTAACGGACCCCTTGTTTCTGCCTTCAACACAGAAACAAGTGGTACACAGGCAGAACAAGAGGGGGTCCATTGGGTTTGAGGATAGCTGTTTTGCAAACTTTTGCAAAGGGCGGCTCCCTTGGTTGCCTGACATGAATTGAAACACTGAGTCCACGTAGGCCATAGGCTCCCTACGTAAGAGGCTAACACCAATCACCAGCTGTACTAAGCGCTTTGCAGGCAACCGGAGACAAAGGAGCGGTAAACCAGAGCTTGGCTCAGGGAAGCCACAAAGGTGTGGAGGTCCAAACATCTCTTCAGTATCATACTAAAACTGCACATGGGGGTGTTCGCAGGGATGCAGCTTACAAGGGATCGCACATAAGATGCAGCATGGTTTGTGCTGGGCAACTGGGGAGAAGCACAACTTCATCAAGCTGGAAGTCAATGATGTATCTTCCAGTAGCCGCATTCCGTCGCAACGCAGCCCCGCTCCTGCAGCGACGTCATACCACCAGATACAGCCATGAAGGCGACAGTGTACCTTGGCTGCACGACCAAACTCCCCCAGCACATGGCTCGAAAGCCCTACGATGGTGCAGAATGTTCTAGGGTACCATTCCAGATCTAACCAAAT